CCATGACTATGGAAGAAGGTATGATGGTCTTTTATTCATATTCATATTCATACTATTAAACTAATTTGAAAAAAATAGCTCATGTATCAGTGGTCTAAGCGTATGCATCTTTCTGGTTTTGCGGCTTTTTCGTTGGGATGTGTGTTGCAGGGGCCAATAAGGTTGAAGGGACTATGAGTTGATGCTAGGAACCAATGAGATTTTGGCATCTAAACATGACGTTGCTGCGCTAAAGGTCAAACAAGGGCAGTTTGAGACCGCCATTTTGGATCTTCACAATTTTGTCGTCTTTATTGTGGCTAAAGGTGTTTAGAAGCATAACATTTAAATATCTTCATGATTGAAACGCTGAACTGTAGGGTTCATATTTTAGTGTGGCTGCTGGTTCAAGACATTTATGACCTAACTCGGCTATCGCGAACGGCACAACGTACGCGAATTATGTTTCCCCTGCTTTGAAGTGAAGTATAAGAAAATCATAGTTTTCAAAGGTCTACAAATGAAACGTTAACAATTGGCATTTAGATTTAAATATTGACTTTAACTTGGAAGAATGCGTAATTGTGTTTTAAGAATCTTGAACAAGAGCTGATTTTTTAAAGCTGTACCGAGTAAATTAATTCCGTAAACATGCTTTATTCTCTCTCGTACAAACTTCAACAGACCTCTAAATTTACGTTCCGGCAACTTAAGTGCAACCATATCTGATACATGTTTGTTGCCATAAGTAATTAAAACGTAGTATTTAATTTACCCAGTGGCTAAGTAAAGATGCGTAACTTTTGCGTTAGCGAATAATCTTGACGAAATAATAAGAGATTGTTTCATTGACTGGAATAACATGAGATGAATAGAAATTAGTATTTCGGCAATTTGACAATTCTGTTGGAAGTAAAGTAATGAACGATGCATAATTTTATTACAAACGTCAGAAAAGGAGGTGATTTGTTAAAATTGTTTGAGTAAAGTAATCTCGTAAACAATATGTGTTCTTTCACGTACACTAATGTAAAAGGAGCAAAGTCCAACATCTTCACTTGCAAAATGTGTGTATGAGTTATTTTTATGATCCTGTTTACTAGATTACTGTGTGATAACTTGAATTCCCTTACGTACAGACCACGAAAGGGGGAAAGTCCAACACTTTCACGTGGCAGCTGGGTGACTGTCAGTGTCATGCAGATTGGCTTTTCACAGTAATAATAGTAACTTGAGCGAATGAAGACCTGTTCCGTTTTGTAACCAATGCCTTAAGTAAAGGCTCTTGTCGTTTAAGAAGCAATATCTTTTAAAACATGAAGAATTAAGTTGTCAGAGTGAGAGACTGTAAGTGTTTCATTGGGTAGAATCGCACGTGAAAACCTCGTGAATTATGATGATGCAACCGTATATGACAATAATAAGAATCCTGGTATGTCGTAACTATTCGGTATTCGATGAGCCACATTTTCTTAAGAAACTTAGAGGAAACCTTAGACTTTTCCTTCTTGGTGAGTTGATATTTATTGTACTTCATCAGGGAAAGACAGAGGAAAGTGAATATTTTGCATGAAGATCGACTCAGCTGAGCCTTTCGCGTTTTTTTTATGTGCTGCAATACCCAATTTCCCACAAAAACCCAGTCTATCTTTAGGATGAGAAAGGTAGATTCATCATTATTGATACTGTTACACTGAAGCATTCAAAATAGCTCATGCACGTTAGACGTGCCTATGTTTATTGTTGCTGTTAGTATTATTATTTTTAGTGGTAGTGGTGGCAGTTGCAGTGGCAGTGGTAGAGGCAGTAGCAGTAGCAGTAATAGTAGCCGTAGCAGTAGCAGTAGTAGTAGCAGCAGCAGTAGCAGTAGAGCAGCTGCAGTTGTAATGATACATAACAGTTAAAATTCTTTTCAGAACCAAGTGATTACCCTACAGTCATGAACTGGACTTCCACAGAAACGCACAAAGAATACAGAGATGTAACGTTTAGATGGGTGGTATGTATATAGTCAATTTTATCCAAGTTTCCGTTTTATCCATTTATTCAAGATTAATGGGAATTTTCTTGCCACGATTACTTGCGTTTCAGAGGATTAGAGAAATTTAAGGTAACGCTTAAATAGGGCAAGCGTCCCATTCGAGTTGAGACTTTCTTAAATTAAGAGAGAAGCCAATAAAAACAGTCCAAAGCAGTTTTTACGGATACAAAAACTAATATGAAAGTACCATTTTTTTCTTGTGTTGAAGTAATTAACAGTAAACGGCAAGTAAACGGAAAACTTGGTCATGTGGTACAAATTCAAAACTACCAACATTTCCAAAGTCCAATTCAACCAGGAATCAGGCTGGCGAAGAACCATTTTGTGGATGTGCTGCCTTCAAATCATTATTTATTGACTGATTTTTATTTATTCACGTTTGCCCTTTGCCGTAACCGTGACTTTAAACCTCTATATCATCTCCGAGTTACACAGCGAACGATTGCAGGACATTCCGAACTGGTAGTTCCTACAAATGGGTCATTTCCAAGTTTTAAAATCTCTCGCTTTCAAACCGAGGCTAAGTACAAAACCTTTGTTGTGAAAACGAGTTTAATTTGCATCACAGGTGCCCAGACTCACAGCAGCTTACTGGAAACCAAATTATAAGGGTTTGTGTGGGAATTTATCGTAAGATCGATGAAACGGTTAAAGTGTACATACCTCATTAAGAGTTGTGTCTGTGTTGTTTTCATACTGTTTCCTGCCCTATAAACGCCATTTTAGCAAGTTTTTTAATGTTTTGGTTTCTCACCTACTAAAAAGTCTTCTTCTTAGTATGTGAGAAACCAAAACATTAAAACTTGCCAAAATAGTGTTTATGGGGCAGCAGAAATAAAAATAACAATAATAACAATAACAATAATGATGTAGACCAGGGAGCGAAAGTAAAATGAAGGACGCTTCTTGACTTCCCTAGGCAACTGATTGTTGTTCGGAGCCAATGAAAACCAGATTTAAAGGGGCTGTGTCACGGCAGTCCAGCTCATTTTGTTTAATTTTGCCAATTACTCGCCCTCAATCGTTATGTAACTTAAGTAAGCAAAGAAATTACATGTAAATGACAAAATCAGAGATCCGAGACAAACAAATATGTCTCCTGAGCATTATTTTTGAAGTTGCAAGCAGCAGGGATCAACAGGCTGAACAGTTTTCAAAAATCATAATTTCAATCCGTTTCAGTCTTCTTCAGTTTTACCCATCCGTGGCATCTGCTGTTTCTGTTATGTTATTTTAACTTTCCTTTAAAGTTTTAAGCGGTTATTTTCATGTTTCTCTTAATTTAACAGGCATTTTGTAATTTCCTAATTTGGCTGAATTTCGTGACACAACTCATTTAATACCTTTTTCTGAGAGTATTAGCAATAATAATAATCGTAATCATAAAAGAGTCTATTCACAACAAATAGAGTCACAACATACGTGTTGCTTTACAAAATATGGTTGTATTAACTTATTTAAACTTAAAAATCAATTACAATTAGACAAATAATAATAATGTATTAAAGAGACATTTATTAATAAAAGAACTTTTCAAACGTTCCGTTTTGACTACAGGTAAAATTAAATTATGCCCTCGATCTCCTAAAGATCTCTGTCTACTAGAGGGGCAACAGCTCGATTAGGGGATGCGGGGAATTCTCTGTGATGGTTTTCCATAACTTTGCGGTCCCGATAACGGATTCCCAATAACCTCAGTTATTACGTATAAGTTATTTGTACATCGAACCTAAAAGCACGTTTAAACAATTTGTCTATACGATCAAGATATTTGCCTTGAAAGGAAACAGTAAGAACACGACACAGACGCAACTTTTTATGAGTTATGAATACTTTAATAGCTGCTTATGTCCATTTTAACCGTTTTATCGATCTTACGATAAATTCCACAAAAAAACCTTATAATTTGGCCTCCAGTAGGCTGCTGTGAGTCTGGCACCCCTGAGTTTGCATGAGAGTAAAAATTCATCAACCCTCGTTTTCAAATCAATGGCTTCGCACTCAGCCTTGCTTTGAAATGGAGACATAAGGCTACTCGGAACTGGATGAATCAGGAGACAACGGACCTTTGAATTTGAAACATATTACTCATTCCCAGGTCTTGCTCATCACTTCTACGCGGGGAGGGTGTAGTTTCTAGGTCTTCCTCTGACGCCCCGCTCAAGTGTTTTCCCGCTTTTTACTTGTACTGGCCGCCAAGAGGGAGAGGAGCAAGTTTGTAATGATTTTTGATAAAATCTGCAACATTTTTACAAATTCACAGCTTCCAGATAAAGGAACTTGGCATGGAATACTCACGCGATTTATACTTGATTATTCAACCGTGAACAGTACTAGCAGAGAAGAAGATGTTGAGAGACTTGAGGTCTTCAACAATGCTTCTAACTATACAGCCACAGTGAGAGGTCTACGCTTAGATGAGAAATACGTTGTTGAAGTAAGGATGTGCACACGTGTTGGGTGTGGTCCCAAAAGTCAGCCAGTCTACATCTCCTCTGAAATACCGTCATCGGAAGGTATATTTATCTACATTTATGAATACACATTTACTGTAGTCCTTTAGACCTAAACTCCTCTGAAGTGTACATGCAGCTTTAGCCGACCGACCCATAGAAAACGAAATGAATCCAGCAATTTAAGAGTTGTAGTTGGGCAAAGGCGCTCTCTCCTCAGTGGAGGCCTCTTTTGTGTCCTAGGGAGGCTGGGGAGAAGGAAAACAAAAAAGCGCGCGGGGCACGATGGGAAGGGGAAGAAATTAAGGGAGGTCGCCTTTTCCCCCTTCCCTTCGTCCTCCGCGCGCTTTTTATTTTTTGATTATTGCTGTTTTTATTGGGACACCCAGCGGGAGCACCTGCGGAGGAGATAGGCAAAGACGTCTTACTAAATTCTCTGGAAAAGGCAAAAATTGCGTGTCAGCGATCTGCTGTCCTCTTTTTGTGTTATTTTCATACCTGAAAAACAGTTAAGGCCTTAAAAATTGCTTTAAGTTGTAGAAATACTTCAATTCATTCCGGTTTTTCTCAACAGATACTACAATTCAAGCGTCTCGTAAGACAGGAGACTCCAGTTTTTCGCTTATCATTGGGTTAGTCTTGGGCGTTGTCGTACCTGTGGTGTTTTCTGTTGTGGTGGCCATTCTTTGGACAAAGAGGTACATTATGCTTTCCGTCTGTTTGGTATTAACGAAGTGCGAGATGATCAAACACACCAAAAAAAACAACAACAACAACAATTGAGCTTAAGATCTTACGAAGGTTCTTATTTGGAGAATGAGTAAAACACGAAAATTTAATAGAATTAGTCTTCGTCTAGCCTGAGAAAGCAGCCGAAATTTCGCGACGCCACCAAAGGTGTCGCTGTGAAATGATGTCCGAGGAAGGAACTAAGAAATTTCTTACTGATGAGGTGTCAATACCTAGTTCTGGTTGGTGCTTCTTCTTGGTTTCGTTTCCCGCTAAGGAAATTTGCTTCAACCAATCAGAAGCACCACCCAGATTTGGGTAGGGAGTCGGAAATCATGATAAGTCTCTATCAACACCTGCCGGCTGCCACTCATGCCGACTTTTTCCGTTCTTGTTTTATTAATTATGACGATGATTATATGATGATGATGAGTTTTATGGTGCATTCTTCATGGCAGGTATGTCAATGCCGAAAATTTCAGTCCCATCATCAGGTCGCAAGAAGCTGCCTCAGACTTATTTTTTTAAAAGAGTAGTTAATTAACTAATTAATTAATTTATAATAATAATAATTATCATTACTATTGAATTTTTTAGCTCGGTGGGTTTGAATATTATGTCTTAGTAGCATTTTTTTGCTGACACTCAGTAAATATTTTGGTGTCAGGAAACACAGATCGCGTGTCAAAGGAAAGCCAAAGCTGTCAGAAGTTGTAGGAGACCTAGCCGTAAGTAGTAGAAAAATCGAACTACATTCTGTTGGAAACTGGGAAAGTAGCCATCGTTCCTTTGTGGCAGAATGGAAGATGCTTAAGTGTTTCGAGAAAAGATATTTGTCTCATTTGCATGCGACAGGTTCCTCCTCATGAGCCCCTTTCACTCTATTTTGAAGTAGCCCGTTTCAGGCTCCAAGATTGTGGGGAAAGTGAATCGAAAGTAGATGCGCGAAAACCGCTCAGGGTCTGGGGAGAGACAGAGTAGTGGAGCCTGTAAGTATTGTTTTCAATGCCTCATTCCGCTATGCCAGCTCGTGGTATACCCTATGATTGGTCAATTGTGACAGTTTACTTTAACACTTGCGCGCGAATAGTCTAATAAACAGGGCCGGGCTGTTCGAAGCTGGGTTAAGATAACCCAGGGTTAGTGCAAATTTTGAACTCAGATATGAGAGCTTAAAAAGCCAATTCAGTTAAATTCTCTTTGCCTACAATTTGATGATTGGATATGCTAAAAAAAATAGAGAAAATTATCCGAGAGAGTGCTTTTGATAAAAAGACAAAGAAACCCGGGTTAAAATTTAACCCCGGGTTAGCGCTAACCCGCGTTCGAACAACTGGGCCGCCCAGGTCGAGCAAGTAAAACCCTTGCCTCCAACGCAGACGTTCTTTAAGGGTTCGTCACGCGTACCTGCCTCACGTTGAGAGGATTGCGTGACAAACCAAAAGTAACGTCTGCGTGGGAGGCTAGTGGAACCCTCCTACACCGACACCGTCTGACGTTTTGACACGAGAAACGGCTTTTCAGGAAGTGGGCGGATTGAGGCGTTTAAAACGATGCTTATAGGCTCTCCCCTTCTCTCTTCCGGCCGTTTTTCGTTCGTTCGCTATTTTCGCCCGTCTGCACTGACCGAGAGCCTGGCACAGGCTTATTGTGAAGAAGTTATTATTTTTATCGACTGCTAAATATGCACCGTCAAGCTTCTTTCGCGAGCATGTTGATCAGAGTGCAGATTTGACTGTTCTTGCTTGTTATCGCTTTTATAAGTTATATTTTATTACTAAAGTGATTTTTCTCTTTTATTTTGTATTCCACACAGCCTCCTCATTGGTACGACGTTCAGAAAGAGCCTGATAAGGACGAGGACAGCGGCGTTTATGATGAAACGTATACGCCTTTGCTCAGTGATAAGGCCTCAGATTATGTGCAGATAACAACTTCTCAGCCTATGCTGTCAGTACAAAGAACATCAAAACACAACGTGGATGACGACAAAGTCGCCGAATCCACGGAAATATGACTCTAAAATTATCAGTAGTTTTGAGATGAATGTTCCCTGTCCAGGTAGGATTCACGCTCTAACAACTGGAGAGGCTAAGCACCACGCTCACCTCCTACAGAGCCGTTCTTTTTGTTGTCACGCAATGCCCCTCTCCACTAGTTTGTGTGAAAGAACGGTGCGTGTCGTCATAAACAACGGTTGCGTGGGCCGTGGGACTAATTCCGGAACGACAATGCCAGCCAGTCGCCGGCAATTATCGTGACAGGCTTCATTTAAACTTCCAGCATCGCGGTTAACTTTTATCATTTCTACGTAGTCACCCGTAGTTTGCTACACTGCCGTTCTTTGCGTCGTCACGCAACGCTCCTCCCCACAAGGCGCGTTGCGTGATGACGCTAGTAGGTCACCGAAGCCGCATGAAGGTCTAACCTTTATTTCTTCTTTTAAGACCATGAGTCTTGGTTTGCGCCTTGCAAAACCTCTTTTTAGTGGAGGAGATATGCTACTTCATAGACGTTCTCTTGTTTTCGTTGCACCAGCTCTGACAACTCAGTTTTTCGGACTTTTTAGGCAAGTAAGTACTTAGTGGTCAGCTTTGAAAACGGGGCCCGTTTAAAGAGAGTGAAAAGAATAATTTTCTGAAAGAATGGCATTTTTCACTTGTTTTCTTGAATCTAATTGTAATGTTTTTATTGAAAAACATAAAAATGTGTAACAACTTGGCAAGAAAAGGATGGAATAAATAATTTAACCGTTGCCAGTTCATTATTTTAATAACTAAGTGATATTTGCCATGGCTTGTTTTTCGATTTTATAGCGAATAGTGCTATCTGCAGCCGTAGGAACTTACAGAATTTAGAGAGAAATCAGTAAGACACCGTGAATGAATTGCTGACATTTTTCAACTGTACTGAGTATTTCATTCGCGGATATCCAAGTCAGGATGTTTTTCAAGACATGTGGTTTTCGCCCTTCCGTAGTTGCCTAGTTTTATGGTACAGCTAAATGTAAATAATGCTACGGGACCGATGAATTATGCTTTGTTGACACAGTTTTCTTCAAAGAAGCGAAAGAACGCTAATTAAGGATTAAACATTAATGGACAATTATTTTCACCTTTTCCACATTGCTGATAATAGACCTTCTTTAACCCCCATAAGCATATTGCCTTCAATTTGTCTTGGGACGACTGTGGTACCCAGGAAAAATTAAAAACAGTTCTTATGCAAAACTGTAGGGGGTAACAGGTGTTTTGTGGCCAATGTGAAAATGGTGAATTTACCTTTTTGTAGATCGGCCAGAGTATCATTTTGTGTAATCATGGCTGGCCATCTCGCAGTAAAAATTTAAAAAAAAAGCAGAATGCTTACGAGTTCTGCTATTCTAAAAGTTTGCTTTACGCTATTGAGATAGTTTTGCATACGGTTTCTGATAGAGCGCTCTAGGTCACCGACTGTTTATTGTACCCAAAGACTGATGGAAAACTGAAAAAACTTTGTTTTCACTTAAATTTATTTGTACTGAATTTAACTTGCGTTGTTAACCACGCCCTTTTGTAGTGTTCTACGGAAATCCCTCGTGGGATAATACTAGTTAAACATTTGGCTTATTGCTTCAAATTTCTGAATCACTGGTGAATTTGTATTACTTTTGTTGCCTTTTTGGGGGGGGGGGGGGGGGGGGCGCTGGGCTGTTTTCAGTTTTTGCCTCTATGAAAAACACCGGGGGACACGGTAACTTAATCATCAGATCTGGCGTCCAAAGTGAAAAAGAGCGTCCCTTATGAATAATTGATAACTACTTAAGGGGGATCTGTTAAGAGTGTCGAAAACATCTACCTAAGGTCACCTAAAGATTTCTTTCCAAAGGAAAAAAAGCTTGGTCGTAAATATCCCTTGAACTACTGAGTCCACGAGTAAAAACTATAGAGTTTTAAAATGGCCCACAGTATTTATCTGTTTCGTCGATTTCATGTAACGCGAGATTATTTATAATTTTGTTTTTTTGTCCATTGTTTTAAGCAACGGGAAATTACTTAATCGGCGTACCGCTCTTTTGAGGTATATTTATGCTGCAGAAACGTGAGTAAACTTGGGTTGACGCGTACATCAAACATCTGCTGGTGAACTCTTGCTGTCGTTTTTTTTTTCAGTATATATATTAGCTGCCATGATAGATCTGAAATTATGGTAGGGAAGTTCTAAAAAGGAAACTGAAAGTCGGTCATATTTTTTTTAAAATATAATTTTCCCTTTACTTCCGAACGACATTAGTTCCCCGGTGTTGTTTATGCGTGTTGTTTTATTTTCGTCAAGATCACAAATACAACATTACAGCTGAAAATCTTAAAGTTGTCTCCTTACTTTATTCCTCTTAATTTTTGACTAGTTATTTTACTATCTCCCTATCTCACAGGTCTTCCTTTATCTAATGCACTTTCAACCGAAAACTGCAGTTTTCGTATTTAAACTGTCGGAATCGGTGAATATCTGTAGAACGCTCGCCCATAGCAACGACAAACTTTCAAACCTTCAAAGAAATTTCTAAGATAAAGAAACTGTACGAGTTGTTTCCCTTCTCACTGATTGGATTGGTTGCCAAAACTACTACGCGGAACGTCACTTTTACGAAATTTGTTTTAGACTGTGACAAATGCTACTTGAATATTATATTTCCTAGAAATATGCAAATCAGTGACAATGTCTACTCGTCGAACAATAAAACTCGCCAGGTTCTTATAAAGCACGTGTTGATCGGATTTATACTCTATCAGCCAGTGACGTCTGAGTTTTAAAACAATTTTTATGCTTCCATTTATTTCGTTTTGTTTTGATATTTTTACGGGAAATTGCCACGTCGTTAGCGACATGGGCGAAACGACCAAGCACAAGTCGGGGGGAAACTCCCGCCATCTTGCGATATAAATACTATGATGGTTGCACTAACGTTTGTCGGATGGAAAGAAGAGGAAGATGGCATTGATTGTGGCACTGTGGTTTTTATTTAGTTCGTCTTTCGCGTATCATGTCACGGGGAAGGATAATCAAACAGGTAAGACTCTTTTTAAACTGTTTTAAGTGCAGCAGGTTGACTTTTAAGCCAAGCCGAGAGAGGTCGCTTTCTTATACTAAAAATACCTGCAGTGTTTAATATGACATGTATTTTCTAAGTCTAACGCGGATTTTTGCTTAACACTTGTTGTTGTCAAGATACAAAATAAACTGCAGTGATTTCAGTGGCAAAATTTAGTAATCTTTCAGCCCTTTTTTTTGTTCCAATGGCCTTTTTGCTCTTTAAATTTTAGCCAGGAAGCAAATTTTTGTTGCAGTTAGCACTTAATTCTCTCGCCGATTCGATTCAATCCATACATCGCGTGAAGCTGCTCTTGTTAGAAATGGAGGCCAAATGATTCAAGCATTCTGTGTTTAAAACTTCATTGGAAAGAGAAGTATGACCGCCCTGAGTTTTCGCCTGCTTCCCGGGGATTTTTCGAAAGTGTATTTTAAGGTCGAATATTGAGGGCAGTTTGATGCGTATATATTATATATATGTATATCCTGGCGGGCATGTAATTTTTGATAAAACTACAAGCCTGAATTGAAGGTAACCTTTGGTGGTTGATCGAGCTGTTCCGTCAAATATTGCGTAAGATTAACTTAAGGTTGAGTCCGCTCGCGCAGCGATCAAATCAATTGCTGAATGGTTCTTTTTTGACTGTAACTTTTTCCCTGGTTTCATACATTTTTCAGTCACGCTTTCGTTTATAATTGTTAATTTAATAGTGCTCTCTAAATGCGTGGCCTGTATAAAATACCCTGAAACTCTTCAATAGTATTTATAATACCTGAATGATGGTTAAAGCCTTCAAAAACAAAAACAAATATATATATATATGGTTCTAAGTTGGCACAATCGTTTAGTTCGAATGACAAAACAACAAAGTCACGCCATTATGACGCACCTTTGATCAGCGGCTTGTATTCAAGGCTCGCTTTGAAACATGGCGGGAGAGTCGGCGAGAGCAGGCGAGAGGGACACTTCTCATTCAACGGAGAAAATTCTTTCTATTGTGAGGTAAAAGAAAGTTGTAGTTTTCCCAGCTTGCATTTTTGTTGGGAATTACTTAACAAAATTTCAGTCCCGGTTCATTAGTTGCAAACCGTTGCTGGCCGCTCGTTTTCTCAAAGAACCATGTGCCGTGCAAAAACTATTACCTTGTGTACTCATGTGTAACTTACTCTCGAACGTCATTCAGTACGCTGATTTTATCTCTCTAGCTGATAGACTATCAGGACAGTTTATCGCCAACTTTTTTGAGTCAAATGCGTGAGTCTTTCATCTTGTTGTAAACGGGAGTCCAGCAACTTCCGAAGATTTCCGACGACTTTCCGAACGTTTCCGAAAATGTCAAAGATGTTCCGATAACGAGAGAGCACTTCCGAAGCTATTTAAAAGATGACAATAATAAATTATTGACCACTCCAGAAATACCATGACACACCATAATGCTCTTTGTTTGTTACCCCATAATTTTGCATAGGCATTGTCTTCAGTTTCTCTTGGGAATTAAAATGGCCCTAAGAGAAACTGAAAACAATGCTTATGCCAAATTTTGGGTTGACAAACAAAGAGCATTATGGTGTGTTATGGTATTATCTGGAGTGATTAATTTTAGTGTGTTTTGATTTTGTAAGGACGAAGAGTCATCATTCAATGCCTTTTTGGAGGATTTTCGTGGAAATTGAATTTAATGAATTTAAGTTATTAATCCTGTGTCAAAGAACATTTTGTCCGGATTTGTGAGTCAGCTGGCGTGATAAATTGTCCTTGATGCTCGAGATCAACTTGAAAGTCTTTAGTCCGCAGGCGTGAGACTCGCGCATAATGCAGGCAGGTAAAGTGCAGATGTGTACATACTTCTTAGAGCCTTCTCAGAGCAATAATAATCCGTGTGAACCAAGGGTAAAAATCAAAACCCAAAAAATCTCTGAACCAAAAATTAACCCCCAAAATGTCCTATTTGTTGTGATGTGTGAAATGTTAAAACAGTGGCAATTATAAGAATTTGTTCATGGTTAGCACGCATATATATCGAGTTATGGATGCATGCGGGAAAACTTCCCAAGTGCATCCATAACTTGATATATGCACAGCTAAAAGCATGAGCAAATTCTTTTATAACATAGCTGACAAAAATGTTTGCTTTTTGATTAACTGCAAAATTCTCGTAACACATGGCACAATAACACGCTTCTATTGGCTGATTACAAACACGCCACAATCATCTACTTTGAAGGAAAATTCTTTCTGTAAAACTCAGAAAGAAAATTAATTGCTTATTTATTTGTTAATGATCAATGGAAACTAAGTAGAAACAAAGTTAAAAAGTCTTAAAATTCACCTAAAGTTAAAATACTCACATGTTTGTAAGAAGTCGTGCAGTATGGTTTGGATTTGCTGAAAAGATTTTTACGTTTTGCTTAGCTTTATCCAGAAAAATTGTTTTTTAGTGAAGAGATGTGTCATCCTACTTTAAACTTGTATTCATTTACTAACAATGGCTGGTCATTACAGCTTCTTGAGAATGCCTGGCAGCAATTAAAATAATGTTTTGTGAGTAATAAATTTATGTCTTCTTATGTAATTTGTCTTGTTATTGCAAAAGAAATTTTCCGGTTTCAGTCGGATTATTCAGCGATAACAAAAGTGCACGATTTTTCAGTATTGAGCTTTCTTTATAGTTAACTTGTTTTGTAAAAGATAAACAAACGTTAAAAACTGAGGACACTTTATACAAATTGGATCTTTTCCGACACTGAACAACTAGGTGGTCTTTTCCCACTTGAATGTCAGTCTTTATGTCAGACTTTTCAACAAATCCTTCAGGCTCTATTGTTTGTGAAACATCTTCACCACTTTTGCTATTGGTTTGAGAGGCTAGAACGAAGCTCAGTTCTAAAAAAAACTGGAAAGTTTTTCATCATTGCCATCCATTTTTGGGTGCTTAGGAAAAGAGACGAAAAACACAGCTTAACACCTCATCATGAAAAAAATCTTTATTTACGCAAAGGCATATGAAAATAAAGATTTTGTTCACAGCAGCTCAATAGGACTCATATATAGGGCAAGCATGCATGCATGCTATGTTATAAAACATCTTTGGCTATGCTCTGTTCACAGAACTACGCGGCCTGGATACACAGGCACTACCATGAAACTTCAGATTGTTCTGAATACCCCAAAATATCTCTACTTCAATCCCAGGGGGGGTACTCGGGATTTCAAATGACGGGAATGATCGAATGGAGCCAAAAGTCAAGACCAAAAAAAATCCCTATGGCTTCCAGCAAAACCCAAAAAAATCCCTGGACCAAAAATTAACCCCCCAAAAATCCCATGCCAATTTTGTGGCCCTTAAAAGTTCCAGAAAGGGGTAATGCTATAACACGAAGAAAAACATTGGAAATGGAATACTCGTGTTTGTTTATTCATCATACTATCTGAATATATCCTTTCCCTCATCATCTTTTTAATACCCCCAAAAAATCCCTACTCAAATCAAGCTACCCAAAAAAATACTTGCCAATCTTTCGTACCCAAAAAAATCCCGGAATCGAAAATTTCAAACCCAAAAAAACCCTTTGATCATCCCCGTCACTTGAAATCCCGAGTACCCCCCTGGGACTTCAATCAAGTCTCCCAAAAAAAATACTTGCCAAACTTTTCTACCAAAAAAATTCTGGAATTGAAAATGTCAAGTCCAAAAAGAAAACCTTCAATCATCCCCATGACCTTGAAATCCGGATTAGCCCCTGCCCTGTCCGCTGGATGTGTGAACAGAATTATTTTAAAACTTTTGCTTTTAATACACATTGTTTACCCTACCCTGCTGGCAGAGTCTCTTTCATTCTTCCTTGGAAAATTTACCCTGCGAGAGAGCAGAGTCTCAAATCAAAGCTTCAACATCCCCTCCCAGACAACCCCCTGGACATTTGATTTTTTTTCAAAAATTAATATTCAAATTCCCACTGCTTGAGCTAAAATGCCATTCAGATATCCCATCATAGTTTCCTTTTAGTTGATCAAATACCTCTATCCTGAGGAAATTAAAAAGGGACCATATTACTCTTTTAACTATTAAATGTAGCTTGTCTAATGCCCTTGAAGCCAAGTATGCAGACAGAGCAAAGCTTGTGCAATCCTTTGCTTTTCATCTGTTCCACCATGAAGACGCAATCTTTTCTTTTAAAAGTCATGCCAGCCCCCACGATGATTTATCATGTCCCACGGGACTCCTCGAAGTTGCCACTTCAAAATTCAAAGAAAGCAGTACTTAAGTGACCCTTTGCACAATAAACAAGCTTTAAAAATTCAGCTCTTTTTATAAATCCAGATTAACCTCCTGCTGTGCCTAAATAATTATTCTTTAACAATGCTAGAACTTAATATTTATATTAAGAGATTTATTAGTTTGGAGAAATATTGGTTTGAGATGTACCAGTACCTACCTAGTACCTGGAAAATTGTAATTCTTAGAAATACTAATCTGATCTCAAAATAGTGGAAGAATTTTTGGCAGGTCCCAAGGGTAGTTTTTGGTGTTTCTTTATCCCTAAACCATAAATCTGTTGCCTCAGATTTTAACTCTCTTCCAGACGCTTTTGCAAAAATGGTTCCTGCAGGAATCATTCGAAAAAAAATTGTAAAAAAATCAGCATTACTTCCAATTGCCACCAAATTTGGTACACAGAAAGGAGACAGTCTTAGCCAATTACAGGGCTAGTTTCAGCCACTGGCCATGAAAAACTTTGACACAAAAAGTTTTGAAAATTTGGAAAAAATGGTCGGCGATGCAGGAAGAATTTATTTATGGTGGCTTTTAATAGCTGCCAAGAAACACTTTAAGAATTCTCTGAGAAGGAGTGTCTTCTAGTGAAAATAAAAGTGATTTGGGTATCAGCGATGAAATGAGAACGACAAATCGATGTAAGCGAGCTTGCTTCCTTTCACTCGCACATGTTTGCTCTCGGCAGTGAAGACCACATGTTTTTCAAATGGCAATGAAATGCTTCTCAGAATGGCATCTAAGTCCAAAACCTCACAGATTTTCATGAAATCAATTTTCCACATCAAGAGCTCAATATTTTGCTGGAAACAAGCTTTTTTAGCGTCTGAAGCAAAAGAATGTCTCAGAAGCTGATGCTTAAGACTCAAATTCCAGTATGCAAATGAGTATTTACCATTAGCATAATCTGATGGCTGCAGAAAATAAATTTTGAAAATATTCTATGTCATTGGGTGGTCTGTTATATTTTACATATCAAGGAAAAATTTTTCTTTTTGACTTTTTCCTCAAACCAGACATAACTGTTCCAAAAATTACATTTTTATTAAAATTGCTTGCGTAAAAATTATACAAAAGGACATCTTGTGAACTTCTTACTAGAGAAAGAAAAATTTTTTCCTGCAAGGGTATTTTATTTGCCCTTTTCAAAGAGATAAAGCTTTCTATGCTGCTTTTTATAACCCCCCGAGAAATTAATTTTCAAAATAACTATGGCAATTTTTCTCTTTTGTGAGTTGTCCAGAAAAGAGTTAAACCAAGGTCTCCAAGTCTTGAAGAGTCTAAGATTTTACCATTCACCATCACCAGCGTAGTCTAGTGAATTTTGCATTGCTCTATTTTATAAATTTCTTTGCAGTTACCATGGATATGAAGGCCTGGTGTGAAGCTGGTGATGAAGGATTTAAGACAGTTAATATTATTTGGATTCCTCCCAACAGTCCAGAGAGTACCTCTTCTGTTGAATCCCGTTCTTACTCAGTATTTTTTACAACTGATATCTGGAGAAAAACTGAGTATCAGTTTGGCTGTTCTCTAAACACAACACAGCCGTCATTGCAGCAAGGGCAATTGCAATGCAGCATTTCATGTGAAGGTGGTTTATTTCATGGGAATTTTTACTTCATCCTGAAAATGACAAATTCCTCTGGATCTTATGTTACTGGAGAAAAATCCTGTCGCTTTGTGACAACTGGTAAGCACTAAAGGATGATTGCTTATTAAAATAGTGATGGGACAATAGTCTGTCCCTTTTTATTATTTTTAGTATCCCTTCTCTATAAGTAAGATTATTTCTTCTTCCTATTGGAAGTATGGTGTATATCTTGAAGCTTGGCCTCATTGGCTGCTTAGCTGAAATACTCAGCTAAATCAAGGTCTGAATTATAAATCAATCTGAGAAAGACTGTCATGACCATGTTGAAAGGCCTTAAGGGTAGTGTCATGTAAATTGCATTTATTTCTGTGTATCTGAATTATCACAGGAATTAGATTCCAGGTCTCTCTTCCTGACTAATTGTCTTCTCCACACAAACACAACCAACCCAGTCCAGTATACTTCCAGGATGCTCTGATTTGCCTGGCTTTAAGTTTGTGAGCCATAACTAATGCCCTTACATTTGCTTGTGCTGTTCTTTTATTCTTTTGTCATTCAATGAAATGCATGTTTTCCTGAAATCACACACCTTAGTAACATTATTGGCTGCCTCTTTAAAAATTAAAACCTTTATGAAATCATATAACCCTGATTGGGGGGCTGGGATGTGGGTTGGAGAGGATGCTAAATGGGTTCTCCAGCTAAGGTAAGGTAACTTTATTTAAACACAGTAAAATTTCCATGAGGTACAATTACATTTTACTATAAGTATAGACTCTAAGTAGAGTTACCTCTAGTTAGGATTCTAACCTGGTAAAAATGTCACACCAAAACACCGTAAAAACACGACGTGCGAAGGAAAACTCTGCCATCTTGTAAGAAACAGAATCGCAATGCACTGTGGGAAGACGTTCACTCCTCCTCTGGACTCTAACTTATAACTTGCTAAACTAGAATTTAAAGTAATAAAGAAATAAAGATGATACAGTAAAAAGCCTGCTTCACAAGGAGCCCATATCACTATTATTAAGCAATATCACTATCAAAATTGAGCTTTTTTAACTTTGCTTTAAATAATTTCACTAACGGATGTTGATTGTCTGACCTCCAAAGGCAAGCTGTTCCACAGCACACCTCCACTATAACAAAGGCTTCTTTTCAGTGTCGAGTTGTGGAATTCATTTCCATGCATTCATTTCCTTCTTGAGTTATAAGTAATTTAATTGCAGCAACAAACTAAATGCAAAGTCAGATATTCTGGAGCAAAATTTAATGAGCTGTGTTTTTTGCGGTGCTGTGCGTCATTGTTGCTTTACTAATTTCGCACTGATGGACAAGTTAGATCAATGTGAGCAACAATTCTGCAACGTCTGCAATACTACATTACACAGTAATCAACAAATGTAGCTGGACCAGTGAATTAAGCAGAATCTCAGAAGGGAGAAAATGCATAATACGCTTGATAGCACTAATGCCAGAAGCAATATCTTCTTAGAGATTTCATTAATATGATACTCCCAAGGATTAAGAAGTTGAGACTTGCTTAACTGGGGAATTGGCGCATAGGTATCCTGCAGGCTAATGGAGGGAAGGAAGTCCAAAACGATGTCCTTTCACCAAAGAGGTTTGCAGGCTTGATAAACAGTGCCCAGTCAATGTGTTCCTAACATGTTCAAGAAATTACTCTAGCTACTATTTCTATTCTATTGTTATTTACTTTTAATATGTGAAACTTAAATTTTTTATGATTTTCTTAATCCTCAGCCTATTATGAAATTAAAGACCTGGGAAAAAAGATTAAAAAATATAGCCACACAAATTTTTGTACCCTTTTATACTATAATGTTTTAAGTCAACCCCAGCATAAAGCATAATAATTATGTATTATGCCAGGGTTGATTAAAACATTATAGTATAAGATAATTATTATCTTGTCCGCATGAATGCATGTTCTCCATTTAAGTTTTACCACAGGCGGCCCAATCTCACGTTGCGAGGCAACCTTCCCTCGCAACGTGAGTTTGGGCCGCCTGTGGTTTTACTTGGGGCATGCAAGCTTACTTCGTCTGAGTCAATGTCATCCTGCTGAAGGTCTTGTAGGATACCCCTTGTGAACTCACATCCCATCCCTTTTTAATTATTTTCCAGTCCCCTTAGATCTACTTTGGTGCAAAGAATATATTAAACTGCAGTTTCGTTTTGTTTAGTGCCACCGGAAAGTGGACACTAAATTTTTGTTAAAATTATGCAAATCCGAAGTTTGACATTTACATTTTCGCAAAATATATTTGACTTTGCGTATTTTTTTATCCCAATCTATTTTTGTGAAATTAAGTTAGCGCAAGAGTAATTAGCAATATGGTATTTACTGCTGGACCATATAATGTCATTTACATATACCTTTTGTTGTTTTTTTACTGGTTGGAATAATATTTATCTCAACGATTTTTTTCAGTTCATTGTACAATGCCACAAAATTTTAAAGTAATGGAGAGTGGAAAAAGGAATCTCACGTTGACATGGGAACCTGCCCCTCATATGGGAAAATGGACTTCGTTACTGTGTTACAGGATCTGGTATGGCTCAGCACAAGCAAAATCCAATGAGGTAAAAAGCGACTACCCCAGAAATACTTACCAGTAAAAGGGTAATGGAATGATCACAATTAAAGCTGTTCATTTATAAGAATGGGCTCTCATAACTGACCAAGTGATAAACGTATTGAGGGTAGTGGCTCATAAGAGCTTTTAACAGAAAGCTTATGATGTATGTTTTTAATTACCGTCACACAAGCGAAAATCATATTTATAGTTTCTTATTCCGAGCGAAGCTCGGCGCGAAGCGCAGAGAGCGTAGCGCGCGCGCAGTCTGCTAACCGCGCGTGGTCTTGGCCAACTGCAAAATTTGATGCGCCATAAATCAATCTTTTCATGAATATATGCTTGGTGTCCGCCAATCACGTCATGAAGCATTTTGCGTTTCCAGGCAACATAGACTTTGCCTCCGATGACCAAGGCGCATTTTCATGTATTATTCATGAAAGGCTGTTGTGTTTACTCATCTTCTGTGAAACAATGTTTACCATCGGTGAATCACGAACAATTTCCCATCCAAATGACACAGAACTGCAAGCACAGCAAGTGCCTGCAAATCCTCGCCGAGGAAGATTTTCCATTGAAACTCCTCCGGAGAACGCCGATTAAAATTCATCGGCGAGCGGATCGAAGAAGACAACCGCGAAGCAGGGAACATCGCTTAGCACAGCGAAGGCAACGTCATCAACACAGCGACCACAAACGTGTACAGAGGCAGCGAAAATACAATTACATTATAAACAAAACCGATGAAGAGAGGGAACACCGACTGCCGACGCTTCCAAAAGCGACGAGACTGAATCAGGCAACGCTTAAAGTCTACAGTCAAAATTATCTTCTTCGATGCAGCGATAGGCAGTAAGAATTATGCTCGTCAAAAATATCTTTCCAACGGACTCGGGACAGCCGGTCAGCCCACCATGAGCAACAATGGGTTTTACAGTAACCTTTATTTTACAATGAACAGTTTAGAACAACGATAATGTGTGACGCTTTTAGGGAAGCGTTAAATTTGTAAACAAAATCCTTGCTGAACAACTTTTTCGTTTACAATTTTCGTTACATTTACTTCCCCAAAACCATCCCAAGTAAAACATATTATCATTGTATAGTAGCCTTATAGATAAACACAGCTGTGTCTTTTAAGTCAAGCACTGGGTTGAAATTTACTACCTCCCAAGCTACCCAATATGGGCCTCCCCCCCCCCCCCCCCCCCCCCCCGAGCTTCGCGAGGTTCTACGATACAAGTATTCCTAGTTTGTTACTTATCACATTCAAAGTTAACTATCCATTTGTGATTATGTAGTGTATTTCCCTAAACGGATCAAGAAGTCAATACGCCTGTGCCGGGGAGAACTTTAAAACTATGGTAAAGACCAACTGATGCTGTTGCTTATGGAAGCAGCCACTTGCAAAAGCTTTTCATTACAGAGCTTAAATCACAATTCAAACGGGGTTTCACAGTGCAGTGCTAGTCGTTTACGAGAGACTCGAAACTCAGACAAACAAACTGAAATTAACATTAGCGAATTCCTTACTTTTGTCTGACTTTTGTCATAAAATTTCATGTTTGTTTGTCTTGTGTCATTAAAATGAGAAAAATGGCAAAACTCAGACAAAAATAGAGAGAAGTGTGACGTCAAGTTACCATGGCAGCCAAATTTCTGGGTGACAGCAACAGAGCTGAGATTAAGCAACGACGACGGCGACAGTAACGAGAACGGCAAAAAAAACCCGATATGTTTATATTAGCAAAACGTCAACTTTGCTCGAGCATTACGCTTTTTTTGTACATTTCTTAGCCGTCGTTGCACGACCGGGACATGAAACCTCCTAATTTCTCACGCACACTTTACGGAGTAGGTGAACACAACACAAAAAGTTTCTTTTTCTTTTTCCAAACTTAGATACGGTCCTTTCGAATTAAATCCAGAAAATTTTGCCAACATTGGACAAATTAAATGAAAATGAATAAGATTGATGAAGTCTGGAACAGTGCGAATTTACTTTTTAAGTGAATTTGCGGTTTGTTGTCATCGAAACATTTTGCTACCATGGCAACGTGACGTAACGACGTCTCCTCTGTATTGCACATCAGTCACTCTAACGTCATTCGCGCGCCACAATATTGGGAAAAAAAAGTGTTCAAGCTCTTGCTGCAGCTGTCCAATGTCCAGTCTATGTCCAGTTCAGCTTATCAGGATGTGTCTTCTGACACTCAGAAAAATTTTCTGTCCAGCATTTATTGATACAGTTAAAGATCAAGACAGCAGGCTTCGACTATTCTGAACAGAGAGGGAACGTTCTTGCTCGACACCGATGCAACAGACCATGGAAGCAGTGCATTGTTTACACAACAGTTAAACGGGGAAGAAAAGCGTATTGCGTTTACAAGTTGAACATTCTCAAGATCTGAAAGGAACTATTGTATGACTCGTTTTGAACTTTTGGCAATAAAACAATAAAGTTTATGTTCACGGATAAAAAATATGTTTGGGCCCAACTCATCTTTGCCCCGTGGTCACGAGGTCAGGGTTAAAATGAGGTCTGAGAAGGCCCAAAACATATTTATTCCCAAGAGCATATACTCTATTACTGTTATTATCACTTTGGAGGATATTGAGAATATAAAGACTTCAAAAAATAACAGCAAGACAGTTTGAACAAAATCTTTCGAGCCTTTACATGTTGAATGGCTTATATTTCTGCCCGAAACAGGTTCGAAATTAGTATTGTTTCTGAGTGTTAGCATTAAATGTACTTGTGTACAAATCTTAAACTAACAGTTTGGCATAATTGGTTCAACTGAGTGCATACGGCTTGAAGCTGCAAAACTTACAAGCAGTTCGTCGCCAACTTTGGAGCTACCACAGGCGTTATTTACATCAGAAGCTTCCCTAACTTTTTTAGACCTTCTTCCTCCAGCTGCAGAGCGAACGGCGCAAACATTACATTGTCTTCCCGATTTTTATATCTCGCTTATATCGTATGACTGTTTGATCCTCTCTTTTCATTGGTTTGTTTCAGCGGGCTATATATATATATATATATTTTAGCTCGCCAATTCTCCATGAGGGATATTTTATGGGTGGTGTCTCGGGGCGCATTTTGCAGGCTCAAATGACAAAGTGAAACTAATTGTTGAGTTTGTTAAGAGCAACAGTGGCATAACCTGCAAAGTACAAGTTTTTTGTTCAGACTGATCAAGCTGCTTTCACGTTTCGTCATTCAGGCCAATGACGCCGAAAAGAACAACTGGTACGTTGGATTGAATTCTTAAGTACTTTTGACTTTGAGATAAAGTGCCGACATGGTCGACAAGGACAATAACATCTGAGGGCTGATGCACTTTCCCGCCAACCCTGTGGTGTCTGTTGTAAGTGGTACAAGATCGGAAGTCTCGTTATTAATGGCCAGGACTTACATCAGCAGCTCCCACCAGTCACCAGTTGTGGGGCAAAGAAAATGTGGGGAAGGATATTTCGTGTTCCTTTACAACAGTATGGACGCTGATAGACATTGAGAAGACCCTCACTACACTACCACATCTCCAGCCTGATGGACAGATTGAGTGTTTCATCAGGTCCGTCATTGATATTTTCCATGGAAAGATCCGCAAACAGACTTGGATCAGTAGCTTCCAGCTTGGATGATGGCCTCTCAAGCTGCTCTTCATATGCCATACCTCTTAATGCTGGAACTGGAGGTCCCTAGAATACCTCCTGATGTTTCATCACTCTAGGTGGACTATGCTCAGGCAGTTCAAAAAGCGATCGTCCAGTGCACGTGATTTGGATAGAAAACAACTAAAAAAATTCATTTGAAGCCATAAGGGGAATTGTGATAAATGCCATGCTGGTAGACGCCGACGTGTGTTTTGCATACGTTATTTCTAAAAAAAATTGAAGGGAAATAGCCGAAAAATACAGAGCGATGTTTTTTTTATTGAATTAGAAGTCATGAAACAAAAAAATGGGTATTAGACTCGTCATAACTTGTTCCTTTAGCCCTTCAATTGAGACTCGAGAATAACAACAAGCACAAGTGAAAGTGATTTATCAAACAATGTTATACTAAATAGCACAGCTAGCACAGCTTTGGCCACCGTTGTAGTTCTCCAGTAACCAGAACTTTGGTCACCGGTAGGATAGCTGAATGGAGAACTGATCGTCTTTTTATTTTTTTATTTTTTTATTTTTATGTGAGACTTGCTTATTTGTGTTTTTCTTCTTGGTTTTTGCAGTCTGTAGACATTAAAATGGAACCTTCACTTGCACACACGTTTCATGATCTGCTTCCATACACACAGTACAGATTCTTTATCCAGTGCAGCTTTTCAGATTGTCTAAATGGCTGGGGAGCACTTAATGGACCTCTTACAGGAATGACAATTGAAGAAGGTCAGAGGTCACAAATTCGAATATTCTTCTTATCAACTTATACAGGTTTTGATACAATTATAGTAACTTTATTGATTTATACGTAATGCTAGGCTAACCCTTTAGCCTACCTCAAGAGGTATTTTGGGTGTGATCAAGTCTTAAAAGCAGTTAAGGGAGACGTGAAGGTGAATGATTTTCTCTCTTTGTCGGGCCAGCAAGTGTGTATATTTTTTTTTAGAGGGGCGATATTTCTGACCAGGTTACTATTTTAATCTGGCAGTTAAGGAAAGTTGTTTGGCATGATCTTCACGTTCAAAATGATATTCTTTGATCTTTCTGGTCATCATGTCCAACTGGAGTTACGGTTCTTTTGTTGGACATCGTCTGATGACCCACTGACAGCACTCAACACTGCTGAGTACCCCCTTTCATATTAAAATATTTATTTAAACCAGGTAACAGCGATATTAACAGGCAAGTGGAGTTTAAAAAGCAGTCTCAACCTACTCCTTCCATCAATTGGCAATAAAATGCTGAATCTTCATGCTTATTTCAAGTTCTCCATTTTAATTATAGTACAGTTTTGTTAATTTCCTTTCTCTTTCCTACAGTACCAGTTAAGGCTCCAGAGTTTGAGAACTGGTCGGTTGCCAATATTGCACAGGATAAACGTGATGTAACAGTAGTTTGGAAGGTAAATGCATTCTTATAAGTACGTAACACTAAGCAGGAGATCTTCAAGAGCATTTACATCAACGGAACATTGTTTAACAACCTGTTCCCTCCTTCAATGGCAGACATGCCTTTCTCACTTTCATAAAAACCTTCAAGCACTGAAAAGAATCCTCTTCAGCAAAGGCACCACTAGCGTTAGAAGATTACGGAAATATGGCACATTTTGGTCATTTTTTACATCCAATTAATCGGGGCATCACTAGGCTCTCAGAACGAGTTGTTTAATTGGCTAACAAGATAAATGTCTCAATAGCTACAGAGACTAGAGGTTCATGAGGGCTTAACAATGTAACTATTGATTAATGTTAATTCAGACACAACTTACACAAGCTGCAAGTTGAGTGACAAACTGTAGGTTAAATAATTATTGCTACGTGAAGGGGTTTCGTTAAGGTTAGGAGCAGAGGGGCATCTGGATTTAGCACGTGGGCATAATTTAATATGAGATATGAACTTGCATTTTGTTCTTTTGATTATGATTTTGAACGCAAATGGTCATCTTTACAGCGAGTCAATTTGCCCGGTGCCGGATCCTCAGTGATCCTCAGTGATCCCCTTGCATCTGTTGCAGATTGGTGGTTGTGCAGTGTTTTTTATCGCGTGTCGCCTTTTCTCGCGTGGGGTGATTTTCACGCGCTCCCGTTTCGCTCGCTCTACTATCCCTGACGAAAAATAGGGGACTACTCGTAGTCTATATTTTTTAACCCAATACGCATTAAATCTCTTGTCCAAAGCTTCCTCCTCGAAATACCTGGAATGGCATTCCAAGGGAGTTCCAAATCGATTTCTGGCAGGTTTTGTCACAAGAGAATGGCTCATCGACCCCAATCCTAAATTCTAGCAGGAATCTGCAGATCAAGAACGGGTCTGTTACAACAGCGACGCTTCCTGCGTTAAACCGATTCACGGACTACCAGAGCCAGATCAGCATGTGCACTACGCAAGGGTGTGGTCCGGAAAGCTCTCCTTGGTTTCTTAAAGGTTTGTGGCTTTCTGTTTCATTCTCAAAAGAAGTGAATTTCTTTGGTAGTTCGGGCGCACTTAAGCCATTTCGTTAAGCTTGCATGTTCTTTAAGTGTAGTAATCCTAGTCTTGTTGACCTTGAGGTCTCCATAGGTGGCGAGAAGGTTTTAGAGTATGGTGCTGTTGGTTAGGGAATTAAGTGTTTGACAACCCTCTATGTTTAAACAAAATATTTAGGGGAACAGAGTATGCCATAGCAACACAAAATAAATACCTGATTGTAAAAGCGTTGTTGATCAAGGATTTATGTCTATGCGTTTATTTGCAAAGCAAATTCAAAGTTTTTTTAATTAAAAGTTTACATTGTCTCGAGCTGTTCGTGCTGATGCAAATCTCCAGAGTACTTTGTTTAAGGCATGTCGTTGTCTTTTATGCGGTCTTCGAAGAAAGCTTTAAGGTCCTATCTTATGATTGTTAGTGTGCGTTAGCTATATGGCTACGCTCTTTTACTGACGCATTGAAAAGAGAAACTGATCACTAATAACAATATTCCTAGGTGTTAATAACTTTCGCACAGTTAGCTCAGTTGCGTGAGAGTAAGTGCAAACCCCGACCGCACCTCAGCTCTTATCAGTGTCTTCTTAAAAAATGGTAAGATCAATCATACAGGCTGTGAATAGGACGGCTCTCTCAAAAGATAACTTAACTGGAGGGTGACATTAAGGCCGGGTTTACACCAGATATTTTTGCCGAGTTTTATGTTTTCTGATGTTTGTAATATTTAGAGTATTCATATTACTCTAAATGGCCTAAATGGATTGGAATAAATCTGGAAACTTTGCAGGAATTTACACAAATCAGTGAATCCGACATCATTCATTCAAATACAGTGGCCGAATTCATCCTCCCCTATCAATTACTCACTGCAGAAAACTATACGGGAATGGGTACAAGCTTTTGGTGCAATGATTTCTGGGATCGCTAGGGTGGACAAGCGTTACTTATGATTAGTCTATCTTATTCAAGGCAACCATTGAATAATCACAAGTAACGTCTTCCCAAACAATATCAGAAATCGTTGCGCCTAAAGCTTGTAACCATTCAGAAGGGGAGGCTAGAGGACCCCCCAAACTGTTCGAAACATTTGGGACCATAGAACCCGGTGGTATGGCCTATCTTTTCATGGGGCGTTTAGAGAAGGAACTCTTTCCGGGGGAAGGGGGGTGTCAGTTATTGGCGCAAGCTTTTCTGGTGTACCTGCCATATCTTGCAAAGCTAATAAAAAACAATAAGCACTGCTCAGCTGGCAAAGGGTTTATCTGCCTACCGGAAGGTTGTGAGTTTGTAATGGGACATTCCGTGGCTGTTATATAGCGTAGCATTAGGTCGAAAGACTGGGCTTGCACCAAAACTCAAGCTCGTCATGGGGGCTCTGACTAAAGCAAATGGAAGTGTATTTATGGTTCTAGTAGAAACAAAAGTTAGATTTCGCGTAGGGAATATCGATTGTTTTTGACCAGTTATGATTGCGCTCGGCCTATCCCATGACTGCATTTCAACTTCACTTTGACACTGGAACTTTTGTAGAAGGAGATAAACTTCCAGGTTACCCCAAGTGTTTGTAGAATTTTCCCCTGCGATGGCCTACTAGTGGAACCCAGAACTGAACAAGTAATAGGGGACAAATTAGAGATGGTTTTGAGCATAAAACTGGTACTCCTGGGATAATTGCTAGGAAACATGACGGGCCATACCGTGTGTACATTGTCTACCTCAAACTTAACCAGTTGACAAAGAAGGATGACATAACACTACCTCGGATAAATGACGTTTTGGAGGCCTTGGGTGAGGATGAGTGGTTTTCTCTAGCTTGAATTTGGTCTCTGGGTATTGGTAGTTGCAAGTGATGGAAGAGGATAGGCCTAAGACTGCCTACTCAGCTCATCAGAGACAATTCCACTGGAGAGTAATGCCCTTCGGATTGACAAACGGACCAGCTAGCTTCACTCGATTAATGAATTTAGTGCTCAGTGGCCTTACCTGGACACACTGTCTGGTGTATTTGAATGATATCATCATCTGCGCTTGCACCACTCAATATCACATTCGCCGCCTTCGGCTATTTTTTGATCTTGTAAGGACTACTGATGTGAACTGAAGCCTACTAAATGTCACTCCCTTTGAGGCGAAGTTGCTTTTTTCAGACGTGTCGTGTCTTCTGACGGAATGAAGACTGAAACTGAGAAAGTCAAAGCCGTCGAAACATGGCCAGTACCACCGAATGTGAAAGGGCTTCCTTACTCTTAGTCTTCATCCTTGGATTTGCCACTATTGCAGAGCCCCTCTACAAAAAGTGGAGCAATAAAGTACCATTTTGATGGCAACAAGAACGAGCTGTGTTTGGACAAGGAGTGGATAAAGAAAATGAGACCAAAATTGCTGAAGAAGGCTTGAACATTGCAGGGAATTTGGAACTTCTTTCAGGGAGGGGATTGTGAGGGGACATTTCGTGCCGGATATATACATATGTAGCGTTAGACTAGGTGGGAAAAAAGGGGTTTTGTGAAAGGGAATCGATCTTGCTGCTTGGTCTTTGTTTAAGTAATGATCCGGGTAAGGTGGATAGCACTTTCTTTTGTTATGCGGCAACGGTGCTTTCCCCACATAGGAATGTTCTCATTTTTACACAGAGAATGCATAAACCTGCATGAAGGCAGTTTACGCAATAAAATGTATTTACACTCCACTTTGAAAGGGTGTTTTTTGTGTTAAAAGATTTTGACCAATCACAAGAGTTGAAAACAATAGCCAAGAAAAGTTTACAATTTTACATGTTCCCCACATAGGATTTCTTTGTTATTCAAACTGAGACCAGATTTTGTTATATGGAAGATGGTTGGAATGTGAGGATGAATATATGTACCGCTTTATGAAGTTTTGTTAACTTTTGCTGTTTAAGCCAATCAGGAGTAAGTACAGACAATAGATAAGTTAGCACCTTTTTTGCATTCCAACATGTTCGTTGCCGTTGTTGCTATCGTTCTTATCTGGACTGTTTCTTAATCTTGTGTTCTCGGCTACCCAATAAAAAGAGTCTGGACCTTTCCTGAGTGACGTTTATTACAAGTTCATTCCCCGAGTGGACAACCAACACGCGTCTTTAGATCCTTTTTAAATAAATAAGTGAATAAAATAACGATTTAGAGGTAGCTCATTCACAAAGTGGTTCTTTGTCTAGCATTTCTTGTCGAATCGGAATTTGGGAATGTCGGGTTAAGTAGAGGGGAAAGCCAAAGTACCTTGAGAGAAAACTCGCAGCAAAGTAGTGGGCCAACAGCAAACTCAACGACGTATGTCGTGGACGCCGGGATTTGAACCGGGGCCACATTGTTGGGACGCAAGTGCTCTCACCACTGCTCCACCCTTGCTCCCCCTTCCAGGAGGTATTGTACATCATGTTTAAAAATGCTTGGCAAAAAATAACTCTGATAATATTTCGTATGTTGTTTCATTTCAGGCGATACAAAGCCGCCTAACCCATTGCCACATGGAGAAAGCAACAACAATTTAAATATTTGGATTATCGTTGGAACTATACCTGGCATCTTTGTTGTAATAGTAGTTATTGTCATTGCTTGGACAAGAAGAAGGTAATTTGCAAACTAATTTATTGTTGATATTTTGTGTTTTTTTCATGAGTTTGTTTTGCTTTCTTCCCGATTTAAGCTCTTCATTTTTTTTAAAGAAAAATCGGGAAATTATTCGTATTTCCCATACTCCAATCAAACAATCAATCGTTTATTTACCCACGTATCATTTAGTGAGCTAATAAGAACTCCAGTTTTGATGTGTATATTCTTTTTGGATATTTGCAAATTATACTCCCAAAATACTTTTCTCTGGCCGTGAAAAACCTTTATTCAGTTTTTCTTTCGCGATATATTTTAATTTTAATGTATACAACTACGTTATTGCCCTTAAGGTGTTTTTAAAAATACTGTTAGTGTACTTTTATAATAAACAATTTTTTAACTTATTTTAGGCAAAGAAGAAAAAATCGGCCACCACTAGAAGAATGTGTACAAGTGGTATGGAATGAATACTTTAAAATAAACTTCCTTTCACATGTAACTAGGTGAAAAGAAATTGCTAAACGGCTTCTGCACTTAAGTAGGCTTACCTTCATAAGTCCAGTGTTGTTTTTGTTATTATTATTATTATTATTATTATTATTATTATTATTATTATTATTATTGTTATTATTGCTGTTATTGTTGTTCAATTGACGTCAATCGGTCATTAACAAAAATTACAGGCGTATGTTCTTGCAAAAGAGAAGAGAGAGCACGAAATGTACTCTCTTTTTATAGGTATTAATTGATTTTTATACTTCGTGAAGAGAAAATCTGTTTGTCAAGGTTGTTCGGGACAATAGAGTCATTTTTTCATTATAATACTTGTCAATGGGAGATGACTGGTTCTTGTGCTCATCATTCTTGTCTCGCGAATTTGAAAGTATAAGCTCACAGAGAGACTTGCTCTGCACCATATCTCTGGGACATATCCTCAAAGCATTACCCTTCGTGTCTTCTTACCCTAAGATGTACTTGATTTATGTCCTGTCTGTGCGGCATGGTAACTGTCACTGGCCATCCTTTTTTTAGGGCCCACCTTCAGGCTACGACGAGATACACGACTCATCCATGAGCAAGCAGAATTCCTACGCTGAAATTCGGCTTTAAGATCCTCCACAACAACTTCTTCCGATAACCGCCGATTTGCCATCGGAACATAGTGGTGATTGATTTAAATTTATTAGGACTTTTTTTCCTGGCGAATATATTCTCCACGTCTCCAAGGTCTCTCTTTTTCTTGTGCCCTGGAGTAAGATTGGAAGAAACCTGTGAACAGGCTCCCGGGGAAGGAAGTGTGACACGAAGGGAAGCTAGCGGCGCGGGAGTCGGTCTACTTGATTCAATTTACGCCGATCCCTGATACCCGAATCTCGTTTCACGTCAAGCGACGGCTTTTTATTTTTTACTACCGAGGACGGGAAATTTCCGCGGTGAGTTCTTCATGCTCACACAACCTTATGGATAACTATCCCTTTTCCACTCTCCCCAATTCCATCCCCCTTTTCGAATCCTTCTTCCTCCTTTTTCCTTTTTCTCCTCTCGCCTAGTATAGGAGGGCGGAATGACGACACCAAAGCTTTGTCGGCAGCCTCTCGTTTTCTTTCCCCTTAATTCCCTCCTCCCTGTCTGCAAGCGCTTTCTGGTGTTCCCCTCGCTTCATTCCCCAACAGTGATCCTGCTCACAGGCTTAACTGGAAGTTGAAGAAGAAATACCCCCGGAGACAAGTTGAATTTTCTTTAACTGTAATATATTACACTTTTGTATTTATCGCAAATATTGCAGAGGTTCATTGAAAATGATATCAGATTTAATTATTATTTTACAAACTTTATTGGTTCAAAGTAGAATCCTATTTATTGCATCGCTTTTGTTGCAGTGGACTTCTAGATTATTTATAATACTTCAATAGGACTAATACAAGCTGATGCAGACATAGTAGATATTTATACTGACTGCGCAACTGTTCTAGATGGTAGTTTGGGATGTAACCTCACATCGTATAATATTATATGCATTAAGCACAATAGACCTCTTTAACTTGTATGGTTTGTTTTCCCAGTGAAGGTGTCATGGGAATTCGCCGTTGTCTTTTAAGAAATTATGCGTACACAGTCACGTTAATAAGAAGAAAATTGAAATAAACAGTTTTCTTGAGTATTATCACATGACCTACACTGGGAAAAAAAACATACAAGCTAAAAGGTCTGGGCCGAGTTGTTCGAAGGCCGATTAGCGCTTAACCCAGGGTTAACTTTAACCCGGGTTTCTTGTTCTTGCGTTCAAAAGCATTTTCTGGAATAATTCGGCCTGTTGTTTTTAGAGCTTCGAATCATCAACTTGTAGACAAAAAGAATTAAAACTGAAATGCTTTTTAAGCTTTCGAATCTGAAATCAAATCTCGCACTAACCCTTGGTTATATTAACCCAGCTTTGAACAACTCGGCCCTGATGTATATATAATTCCTGTAAAGTCGCTTGTTAGATGGTAAAACACATCCCGTCGATGATCGTGCGTTTGAAAACGCTTGTGATTTGTGAGTTTAGGCCCAGCTCTCAAAAGTGGACACTCTTGAATGTGGGGGCTTAGCCTTTTTGAAGTGAGCAGCCAGCCAAACGTTTTTTAACTTTCTCGACTTCCTGGAGCAATATCTTGACTCGCTTTGGACTATCACCTTTAAACTTGGTAAGTTTACAAATTTTTAGTCGCTTTTTCCAGCGGTTTTGATAGTTTTTAATTTTTATCTTGCTGGTCTGTGTCAAAACTTGAAAAAATCGTGGGAAACGAAACGATGCGAAAAATCCTTTCCGAACGAGGAGAATTTGACGCGTTTTGTTCGCTAACAAGGTTTTCGAAAATATCTTAGGTTCTACAGGGCTAAAGCTGGTATCCTTCGCACTGTATAGTAATTATATATCAAAGCACTAATGGTGTATCTTACATTCCTTTTTGAACTAAACGATTTTACATACAACTGGGTTCATGAATCTTTCTAGTGAGCGTACTTTTGTTAGAGAAATAGTTTTATAGAGCTTACCCTGCACGCTGCTTGCATAATAAAGTTCGTTTTACACAACAATGTAACCATTATCGTGTCTCTCTTATATGACCATACCATAGATCTTTTCCATATGCCGCTTCACTGAGGTTGAGGCCTGGTGGATAATTTCATACAGTTACTTTATTTTCTCAAGCCAAGCCTCGACTTAGTGCTTTGTTCAAAAGAAGCTGCCTCCAAACCAAATTGCGATGTTGCCCATAAAACTGATCTTCAGTCGACCGAAGTTAACATTAACTTTTGATAATAAACATCAGTAATCATGATGACGGTGGTGATGATGATGATGATGATGATGATGATGATGATCAGAGTAATCAGATAATAATAATAATAAATAATCAGAGATTGACCAAAGTTGTAATTAGAATGGATCGGGTTGTCATCTTCCCTTAAGATACATGAAGGAAGTCTTATAACTTAAATTATCATATAGCAAGGGATTCTTTAGGCTGAAGGAAGCACTCTGATTGGCTGTTTTACGGTCAGGATTTTACAGTACCGTTTGTTACCGCGAAAACGCTCCTTTCCCATATTTTTAGCGACTGAAAAATGAGAAAGAACTATTTTTCAAATTTCTTCGCCGACCTGACCTTGCTCAGAAAAGGATAACAAAAATGTCTGCGTCAAGAGTGATTTGTTTCAGTTATCGTGGTTGACTGACCAATCATAACTCTAAATGGCGCTAAATGAAGGTTACACTTTCCCGAATGATTTTCTGAAAACCTTTTGGAAAAGAATGTTATAAGAATGTGGAGGATCGAGGCAGTCCGATCTCTTGCGTTTAAATAATAAATATTTTTAATGAGGAATATGACTAAATTCAGTGTAATCAATGTTTATAAACTAAGACTTCCGCTTGAAATATTGGAAATCAAATTCAAGTTTAGCCTTTTCGTATGTCTGGGAGGAAGTATTTTATTACTTTAATTAACCCCAGGAAACTTGGAAAGATTGAGGAAGTTTGGTTATACTTTTCAAAAACCGTGAGACTCAGATTGATTCGTAAGCCAACAAAATAGGTAAAACTAAGAAACTAATAATCCTGAATGAAACACTCGTAGATTTACCACAGACAACGACGTTTGAGTCTTAATGTTTATTTCCACCACCAGTAATGAAAAAAATACTCGTCAGTAGAAAATATCCAATTCAACACTAATAACATAAACCTGCCTAAATATATAAATGCCTTGGATTCGGCGTTTGGCTGAGGAAATGTGTTCATGCTAATAAGGAGAAATATAACTCCAGACGTTTAAGGATCTTGATTGACATGTCGGGTCTTTTCTTGATTTTAAATAAGAAGAATGAATATAGAGCTGTGATGATAAATCGTGAGTAAATTTGAATTGATAAATGATTCTTTCCGCGTACGTTACACCTTGAATTTAGGTTAGGTGGCAATATAGCAAACGTGTTGTGTTAAATCCTCCATACTACTAGGTTTTTTTGTCAGCTATTTTTGAGAGTGCCATTATTTTCTCCTTCATTTGACTCGACAGAGGGCCAGAGTTAGGGCCTCGCTTGCTGTGGATTTGCAAAACACCCTGGCCAGTGAGCGCCAATCGATAAAATGCACATGGAATTGTCGAATCAGTTCGTCTTTATTTCCTGAGTGAATTTTGCCGTTTTGATCGGCTTTTTACTCTTGGGGATTTTTTCTACGAAACTAAATAACCTTTTTCTCTTTCAATATCCGCTCTCACAAGGTGACGTAACACGGGACGATTCGCAACAATGATTTTGGCTCAACACAGCGTTGCAATGTTGGAACAATGTTACAAGCATTCAAAACATTGTTGCAACAATGTTTCAACCCTGTGTTGTGCTAAAATCGTCGTTGCGAATAGTCTCGTGTAACATCACCTTTTAAGGTGGCTCTAACTTTTAAAATTCAAAGAAACTGTCCAACGCATCGTGTGAAAGCCAAGGCGGAAAACAGACGTTTCGAAGGTGCTCTTTTCAGACTTCTGTAGTCGTTTAAAAGCAACTAACTTTTGAGACTGTGGACTAAGTTCTTTAGTGTGACCATTCAAATCAAATTTCTTCGGCACTACCTTCACATAGTACTATTTTGTTATTCAGAAGGTTACGAAATGAACTCTGGATTGTTTTTCTAATTTTGACTTTGGCTCTTCTGGGTGTGAAAGGTTTTAATTAATAAGATGGTTTGGCGCTGTCACTGCGACTAAATTACGTTCCCTCCCATCTCCATCTCACAATTATCGCAGCGTAACAGGCTCTTACTAATTTTACTTTGATTTTTATTGACCGATCAACCGGAAGCGTTAAACATTAAAACAACTACATTAGGCCCTTCATAAATTTTTGATGTGAAAAACGCCCAGGAAATTTTTAAGAACCCCCATCGATAAAACGTATTTTGATGGTTTTAAGACGATGCTGGAAGGTTTTCTGGCGATATGAACAAAATCGACAACGATGGTAAATTAAACTAAACTTAGGCGGCAGTTAAATTTCCGGATAATTTAATTCTATGTTAAAGATCGGTATTTGAGATGACTGGTTCTTTACAACAGACTTTGCAAAGTATCTATTAGTGCACGATTTGTGCGTCAGGAGTTGAAGTTTCTTTTCCCATTTTGTCATTACAGAGAATAAAATTTTACATATGATGGGCCTATTAATTAATTTTGTTGACAGTTCTTCTCGTATGTTGACCGTAAGTTTTTCAGTTTGTAGTTCATAAAAAGAAAATGTTGGATCAATGTGATTATTAATTGGACGTGGGCGGTTTTTTTTACTACTGACATGAATAATTATTTCCCTGTATAACCGGTACAGTACTCGCTGCACTAAGGGTGTTGAACACTATGGAAAACGGTTTCTACATTTTTGGGGATCAAAACTTACCCAGTAAGTATTTCCTTTTTTCCTTTTTTCCCACAGACAGTGTGTACTTCAGAGGACCTTGATGATCTTTAAAGTCTTGTCGTTTTTTTGTGCAAGAAACATTTGTTTTCACTGACCAATGAAATTAAGGGTGATGCAAAGGAAGTTTATCCGGCGATACTTCTTTGCCTTTTTCACTAGTTTAAGGACAAAATTTTTATTTTCTTTATAATTGGAACAGTGTACTAATGGAGGCACAAATCGTTGAACGCTGAGTCGCTAGAGTCGCTGAAAAGTTGTCTCGGTAATTTCTCTTTTCTTTTTCGTATACAAAATAACGAGCTGTTCTGATGGCACATTTTATTGTGCGATTAAAAGAAACAGAATTTGGCGCAAGTATCATGTGGCACAAGAATTACTCAGCCCATGGTGAATTCAACGTATAAATTGCTTTCAGCCTTTCATTTAAGAAACGAATAGAGAAGTTGACTTAATTTCACCGAGAGTAGCAAAATGGAATGAATCTTATAATGATTAAGTCTGGTTTCTTTTCCTTCGATTAGGCCATCCTCTTTTTTTTCTCCGTTTAGCGTCGTCCGACCGACCCAAATTTTTGGCATTTTCAAGTAACGACGTAGTTAAACCATTTTTTACTTGAAATAATTCTTTTAATTTGAAAAATGAGCATAGTAACAGCACAGAGAACAACAGGAACAAAAACATGAACATGTTTTACAGTATATTGTGCATTTTGTTGATCCAAATATGTGAATGTTAACTTTTAACGTCGTCCTGGGGTACCAGGGCCTACCATGCCGAGACTTCTTGTGAATTTTTTTTGAGTGTTTTTTTTTTTTTTCAATCCGACCGACCGACCCAACATCAGAAAACGCATTCGACGCTAAACGATAAAAGAAGGGGAGATGGCCTTAGCCGTGTAAGTAGTTTGGCGACCAGGTTGCATTCGGTTTGACATCAATCAATCATTGGCTTATTCTTGATGTCGCTGAACAATTGGAAAAGGTTTATTGCTTACTCTGTCAAATTCGGAGTGAGCACAGGCTTTCTTTACGCACTTATTTCTTAATCCCAGAGGATCTCGTTGAACATAATTCGTTCTTTTGCGTTTGCAGTCTGCTTGTTATTTACGATCCCTCTCAGACGACATTGTTCAGATATACCAAATTTTATCTCCTTTTGCAAATTATTGGTGATATAACAAACGTATCAGTTTCCTAACCTTTCTACATCTTTATAGCTATTTCCTTTCCAAAGATATTTATAAGTGATGAAAGTCACCTTCAAGTTTATACATGTGTAGCCAGGAATTTTACTTGAGAAGTCAAGTGAATCGAGCAAGCCGCTCTATCTAGCCTTTATTGGCCTGTTCCAGCTCCTAGAGAAGATTTGATGTCCCCCCAAGTTCCTCAGCATGTTTGTTCCCTACCACGAAAGCATGAGGGGCACCGTGCCCTTCATACTCCCTCCCTATGAAGAGCGGCGTGAAACAGGGCTTTGTCTTAGCCAGGGCAATCTTTTGAATCTTCTCTCTCCTTTTGTCCCATTCACTCGACTCTTCCACAGACGGTAAACTCTTCAACCTAGCTCGCCTCCGCACCAGGACCAAAGTCAAAACTGTCCTTGTGCGTGACATGCTCTTTGCTGACGATGCTGCCTTGGTAACACTCTCCGAGAAAGCAATGCAGAGGCTTATCAACATCCAGGGCAACATCCAGGATAGATCAGGGATTTCAATGCTGTGTTTTACTCAATCTGAAGAATGAGTGCTTTGCTTTACAACGTAAAAAAAGAAGTAAAAACTCGTTCTATATCGAAATATGTTTTCAAAAAAAGTCACTGTAAAGTGAAAAAGGGATTCGGTTAAATTCGTAAATTGATTGCTGAAGGGCAAAGAAGTCAGTTTTGCATGAACCTGCGTAAAATAGGGTTATATTAACACACTCCAGGCAATTCAGCTCGCGGAGTTTGCACGAGGTTCAAATAGAATTCTGTATTGTTTATGTTTGTCCCGTGCTGGATACTGTAGTGATTGCCCGAAAAAATGATGATTTTTGCTAATAAATTGCATTCTTTGCTTTTGTTGTATGGTGTTGCTTTACCAGGGCTGGCGCGGACATCTTGTTTTCCGATAGTCTGTAACTCATATTCAGATTCGTCCTCAATACAGATATCATCCCCGTAGTTAATTAAGAAAAGGAAGAAAGTTCGTGCACTGTGCTTTCCTTTGTGGGTGACAAACATTAAAAAATATCGTCATTAAGGCATCGTCTAACAGCTGACAATTCTGGACAAATCCAGCATTTTATACAACCATTTTTTTTTTAGATAAAACCACGAGCCAGTTTACGTAACTCGAGCGGACTTTAAACATTGATTGATGACATACAAAATCATTGCGCCGTTTTCTAATCTTTTAGTGCTCCCCTTTCGTTTTCTCCCAATCTCAAGAGCAGTGAAATAACACAAAATCAGAATCGGTAACATCTTGACATTTAATCTCTTCATCTTGCCAACGATGTCTCCGGGCCATTTGCAGAACAAGATGTTTTCATTACAAGATTTGCCTCCGCCAGCAATTCCCACGCTTTGTGGTTATGTGTGAAGGCGTTTTTGTTGAGTCTTATTAATTATTGATTGCTAAATATTCAAGTGGGATAAAATTTATCAATCCGGACTTCTCGACCCCTAAAGGATGCACCAAATTGCTACAAGATAGCTTAATCTTTTCACAGAAAAAAAGAGAAATATTTATATTAGGAAACGCATGCATAAGTGCAGGAGAATTTGATATCTCAGCAGCGTCTTTTGAAATTGCCGAGAAACAAAATGAAAACAAAAATATTCTTGTAAAGAGATTGTGAAACAAACAGCAAAAACGAGAAAATGATCTGTTATCCCAGTGAGAGCCTCCGGATATTCCTGTTCAAAAGCAAGCATTAGCTGAAGAATTATGTGTATCGACGATCCAGCCCAAAGACCTGGAAAAAGCTTGTGCTTCATTTATCGCAAGTAGTTAAAAAAAACTTATAAATAAATAATTTGCGACAGTATGTGGCAGTTTTTCATACCGTTTCTAAACGCGAACACAGCCGGTCTCATTACTCACTTGTTTTTAATTAGAACTTAAAGAGTATTGATTTCGATTAGAACGATGCAAAATTACATTTTTGTGCTAAAATTTGTGCAAAGATACCAAATTTTTAACCGCGCCATTTTTAAATGTTCTACCGTTTTCCTCCTCGTCTAATTCTCTGTTGGTCGGTTCTCCATAGCTGTTTTCAGATCATTATCACTTGCTGGGTGGGGGGTCAGATGATATCCTAGGATCGATAGACATTACATGAAACTTCAATAGCCACTAATTGGGACTTTCATGTTAATGCTTTATAAATCGTTGATTTGGGGTTAAATTTTTTTGAGCGTAATTTAAGGAAAAAGTCCCCGCACATGGTGTATGAGAAATCCTTTTCACCTGTTTGTGTAAAATGATTGCTATTGAAAGAAAGAACGTTTGGACGCTCTTAATTGCTTCAGGCTTCCTGCTATCTTGATCATTGTATTTTGAATTCATTCTAAACCTGACTTATTCTAAACTTTTTCTGCACTGTTTTGTGTTAATTATTTTTCTTGCGTTGCAGAATGCAGGTGAAAGACTGGAAACTGACTTTGTAATTGAGCTGTCAAGCACCTTAAGGTCACGAACAACAAATCTGCTTTGCCGCATTTTGAATGTTGGCTTATGATTATTCAACACTGTTATCATCTCGACTCCGATCCGTGGATACTCAATAACAGATTTATGATAAATATATGAAGCAGTTTTGCATACGTGTCCATCATGCAGTTTGCATATCTCTAAAAGAATGATATCAACGGAGTCCATTATCGCTTCAGGGTGTAATCAAACTGATTAGTTTCCGAAATATATTGCTTGCATGTGACACCGCTGGGCATTTCATTTTGGTCAAATGAATCTTATGTAAAAATCAACTTTCTAGTTTACAACAAGGACCGTGTAACCGCGTCGCCCGCCAATTCACCGTCAGTCACTTTTTCATCTGGCGCCACTGCACTGCGAGCAAGAGACATATTTGCATATCTGAATTCGACAATCCAGACTTCATCTTCTCTGGTTTTCGAAACAGCCAGCAAGAATGAGCAACACAACGGCCAACAGTTCCGGAAACTATGTCTGCGCCTCTGCGAGTTGTATTTTTACAAAAGAAGAACGCGATGTTATCGTAGTCTCGCTGTTTTCCATTGCAGTAATCTCACTGGCTGGAAATATTCCCATTTTGATTGTGATTCTCTTTTCGGCGAAGAGGAGGAATTCCTCCAACCTGTCGACTGTTAATTTAGTCGTGTCAGACTTGCTCATGACGGTGTTTTGCATACCGTTTGTGACTTTGGATATGTACGTGTATGACGCTTGGGTCTTTGGATCTGCCATGTGCCGTCTTGTAACATTTGTACAGAATTCTGCGATCGTTGCCTCCTTGTTGAACCTTCTGACTATAACGTGTGAGAAATTTCTCGCTATTCGGTTTCCGTTTCATCTGCGCCTCAGAAAAAAACTGGTTTGCCGCTCCATGCCCGTCGCATGGATCATAGCCATTGCACACTCAATTTTCTACGTACATTTCAGAAGAAGGATGGAGTTTGGTGGTACATATTACTGCATCGATGATTGGCCGGACAGTCAAACATTAACAAAAGCACTGGTGATTCTTAAATCAAGCATGTTTTTTGTTCCCCTAACTTTGATTGTAGTCCTGCACTCCATCACAATGCACACCCTCTTCAGAGGTAGAAACACCTTCCAACTTCAACAACATAATGGGGATAGGAACTTGTTTCGCACTACTGCTAGAAAGCAAAGACGTCAAAGAAAAGCCGTCAAGATTATCCTTGCAACTCTTGTCTCCATAATAATGTGCTGGGGGCCTTTCCATATTCTAACCTTGTTTCTGCTGCTCCGGCAAGACGAAGGATTCGGAAGGAATGTCTACATTGCTTACACTGTTTCTGTCTGGTTGCTGTTTTCTCACTGCTCTGTTCTTCCATTTATTTTCTTCTTTTTGACAAAGAAAGGTAAGGAGACTATGGACACTTTTTCACTTTGCCTTCGAACCTGCTCCATGCCGGGAGGCTCTAACTCTGGATCTCTGTTGCTTGACACTTCCAATAACCATGGAAGCAGAGGAAGCAGCTTCCGAGGGAGTGTGCGGTATTCAAGCTGGCGAAAAGGGTTTGCAGTCGTCAGCGAAAGTCGTTTGTAGTTAAATTTTGTAAAAAGGCTATACGAGAAACGAGAAGAAAGAGTTCAAAAACCAAGTATGCTTGAAAAGTGAAGCAATGACTGCATGTGTCATTTTAAGAAAGCCTAAAACCCATTCAAGGAAACCTTCAAATGTGGCTGCGCCCCAACTTTAAGCCTTATCCAAATCTTTGGGTAATTTTTAATCAGAATGCAAAAGCCAGCAATCATGACTTCACCCTCGGAGGTGCTTGTTGATCCGCCTGAAGGGGCATTATAGTATATTTTAGTATTAGTTTTATTCTATGGTCTATGATTTGTTTTTAAACTCCTGCACAGCGTAAATTTTTAAATCGATAGGGACACATCATGTTGACTATAGTTGTACTAATTGACAGTATTTATATTCATTATCCCTGAGCGTTCAATATGTGATTAGAAAGTCGAATATCATAAGTAATGTTTCTAGGAATATGTCAAAGCAGGGGGCTGAAACAGTCTAAACGTGAGCCTCGTTTTCAAACATTTCCCTCGATAATGAATAACCGAAAATAGTCTTATGTCAAAGCCACTCAATGACTTCTTTTGGTCTCAATATTACCCTTAAAAGTATGGGTTTCTCTTAATTAGCTTTGGTAATACTTACACGGTGATCCAGAGTCACTTGTCCGGTTACATAAAGATTTTTCTCTTTAGTAGAAACTTGAATACTGGGTGGTTATAAGTGAAACTCAAACACAAACGACTGTCGAGCATTACTTACCGCGAAGAAGAAAGAGCCGGACCTCTGGCTACACTTCAGCGGATTATGAATGATATCTGAAGAATGTCTGCCAGAACAAACAATCCAGTCCATATCCTGAATTTGCCAAGGAACAGGAACTTTTAACAATTATTTTAGTAGTGGTATCGGTCCAATTATAGGGACTTTTTCTGCACATTTATGCAAGTAGGGAGAGCAGGAGGTGGGCGCATTAGAAGTAGTGTGTTGGAGGGGTCATGAGCATAAAATCCGAAAATTCATTAACATAGAAATCCTAATTATTAGGAGCAGGAGAGTGTAAACGATTATTGGGCTGCCCCTGGGCAACGCCTAATTAAGTTCTGAGTAGCGTCTTTGCCGAAATGAAATGCAAAATGGCGGACGCATAACCAAGAGGGGGTTTCGTGTTCCGTCCCTCCTGCAATGGGGACAATTACTTGATTTTTCGGGGAAATAGGATTAGTCATTTCAGATATAAACAAACAGACTCGGCTTGGAACGAAAACAAAATTCTGGAGTTAAGTTATCAGTCCTGACTAAACTTCACAGTCAATCGCATTCGGTATACCCCTGACGTAAATTATGTGACGTAATAAAGCTTGGTGAAGCAAAGGTGTGGTACGTAACGCTACAGTGCAGTTATCGTGGATTGGACAGCGGAAGAGCTGGTCAGCATGGATAGAAAAACTAGGAAGATATTGGCAGTGAATGGTTGTCTACACCAAGGAAAGAAGGGGAAGGGGGATGCTTGGTATTGAGTAGTGTGTCAAGGAGGAGAGCAAAACCTGCATGGCTACCTGAGAAAAAGCACAGAGTGGGTGCGAATGGTTTTGAAGGAAAAGGTGCTTGTTGAAAAAAAATCTTCAGGACTACCAGAGGAGAAGGAAAGAGGAGAAAGTTAAGAACTGGAAGGAAAAAAGCCCTACATGGAGAGTTTTCTCTACAAACTTCAGATGTGTCTGGAGAGGAGTCCTGGTTGGAGATGGCTCAGGAATGTGTTGTTAAAGAGGGGAAAAGAAGGCTTTATCCTCGCCGCACTAGAGCAAGCTTTAAGAACAATTCGGTCAAGCACAGCATAAATAAGACACCTGAGACATCACTGGGCAGATTATGTGGTGACTCCACTGAAACAGTACGACATATTGTCAGCGGATGCAGCAAGCTTGCCCAGAGAGAATATAGGAAGAATCAAGACAAGGTGGCCCTACAGGTACACTATGAGCTATGCAGAACGTATGGGTTAGAGCGTACCGACAAGAAGTACGACCATCATCCCGTACCAGTTGCGGAAAATGGAGAATTGAGAATAATTAACAATTATTCTTTGAAATCGAGGTGAATAGTGGCCAAATATTTACCGAGCCGCGAAAGCGGCGAGGTAAATATTCCCAAAGCCACTATTCACCGAGATTGAAAAGAATAATTGTTTTAGTATATACACACGAAGTGATCTCAACAAAATCAGAGAGGAAACCATTAAAAAGTACGATTTGATTGACAGATCAAATCACGCGTAAGTTTAAAAATAGATCTTTGCAGAATTTTCAAACATGGCAATTCACAAGTTTATCATTTCGCAAACAACAGCGTAATGGCTTAAATGGAACCGCTAAAAGTTTGAACTGTTTCCTTACCTGAGAAGAAAAGTAGAGCTTTGTTGTTTTCTGTTGACTCGCCAAGTTTATAGCCAAAAGGGTTTGTTGTGTCGTTCTTCGCATGAAGTGCTGACAAAAATGGCGGCTCGGTTGCTCGAGGTAAGACGTCGTCTTCCTGTATCATTCTTTTTCCTGTTTACTTGAAACGTAGAATTTCTGCAAACATTTCCTTTTAAGTTTGTTTGTCATAAATAAACTTCGATTTTTGAGCCAAAATTTTCCTGTTAGAAAACGATGAGTTCACGAAACGGCTTCTTCTACGCGAATACACGGGAGTTGTAAACAATCCATCGAGCACAAAACTCAGCTACATTAAATTGAAAAACGCCGTATTGAATCCTTCCAAGTCTTTTCTTGCCTTAAAAAAGGTCAGCCCTAGCATTTTGTCGACTTTTAAAAGATTGTTCTCTAAAAAAATGGGAAAAACACCGAGCTTACACATTATCCACTCGCTAGGAGGTGAATATTGTTGAATAGTCCGAGATAGCGAACCAATCAGATTGCTTAAATCACCAAGATCGCTTAGTGTGTATATACTAACTTGGGATATAACTATCCCTACAGACAAGCGGCTTAAGCGCAATTGATCAGATATGACTGTAGCACACAAAGACACGCAGAAGTGGACACGACATAGCCCTGTGTCAGCGGACCAAAATACCCTTACTGCTGAGGAGAAGGTGGAAAGGTTTCAAGGCCTAGCGCTCGAAATGAAAAGAATCCATAGATACACGAAAGTGACAATAATACCAATCGTGAATGGTGCACTTGGAACTATCATGAACAATGCTAGGGCCGCGTATGGGAGGTTGAGAGTCTGCCTGACATTTTTGGAAGTGCATAGTTGTCATCCATCCTTGGTACTGCCCATTTCTTGCGGAAAGTGTATTGTGTGGGAAGCCGCTGAGACGTGGCTGAAAATATCCTCTCCTGTTCTCTGGTATTTTCTGGGTCGCACATGACGATAATGATAATAATAATAATAATTATGATAACAATAATAACAATTACATTGCTTAATACATCCACCAGATGTAAGGAAAAATCGTACCCTAACTAACTTAGTGATCTGAGCACGCTCCAGAGGCACTCTTAACAGTTAATCTGTTAATATCCATTGGGATACTTAGTACGTAAATATGCAATCGAGACATGTATCTGTCTTGCAGATAGTAACACCAGCTTAGTCTTCGACGCATTAAGAGCTAAGAGCTAGCTGAATAGCCTTCGAGGCGAGAGATAGCAGAGGTCAGGCCCACAGCACAATCTTTCAACTTGCAGACTTAAAAGTGCAGGAAAAGGGTTGTATCATCTGCATATTGGTAGCATGGACTTTGTAGGGTCTCTAGCAGGCCTGCCACGTATAAGGTAAAGTTGAGGGGACCAACACCGAAGTCCACCAACGCGCGACTGTACTTACTGGCTTCTAATCTGAAGGAACTATGAGGAAAGTATCTCAGAAAGCTCTTGAAGACCCCAACGAGTGTAGTTTGGTAACAGACCGATCTGAATTTGACCGTATCGAAGGCCTAATAGTAATCGGCACACGCCATCATGGTCGTAATCTATGTCGTAATCCATGATGAAGTCAACAACAACAAAAATACTTAATTTACCCACGCTACATCTAGGAGTGATAAAAACTGGTTAAAACATGTGCGTGAAGGTAAAAAAAAAATAAGAAAAAGAAAAAAGAAATCATCTATCTATATAAAACATTCTCAACTAGTAACAATTTTGATGTATACAATCTAAAATTCATCTATGTACAAACAGTATTGAAATTAAAAGCTAATCACTGCTACAATTAAAGATCATGCCTATTTGAAAGACGTTTAAAAGTAAAAATATTTTTGGCGTTTCTAAAATACGTAGGCAGAGAATTCTAAAGCTTTGCTGCCAAAACTGAGAATGATTTATGGAGTCATTCTAAATTAAAATTGGGTAGCGTTAACAGTGTCCCTGACCCTCTTGCCCTCTTGAATAATAATTACGGAAATTCTTCTATGTAGCTAGCTTGGGCTTCCTTATTGATAGACTTATATACTAAACCATAGTGCCTGAAATTTTCTTCTTTGTTCTAGCGTTATGATTATAGGACGTATGTTCTCCATAGCATAAAGTAGACCTAAGAATATAGACAATTTAATTATTAATGTCTTCTAGCTTTCTAACTTGGCCTATGTCAATCCCATTCTAAATAGTACAAAACATATGCTTTATAAGGGCGGCACATTACGTCTAAAGGAATAAACCTGGGAATCCTCCTTAATGCGGAGGCTTTGGCGCACGCCCTAGCTTGCTCAGACACATGAGCAACAAAATTAAACTTACAATCTAATGTTACACCAAAAATTTAAATCTATCGGTAGTTTCCACTGCATTGTTATCTACACTGAAGTGATAGCGATAGGATACAGGACCTATGGCCACTGCCTGTGTCTTGGATGCATTGATCTCAGATAGTTAGGCCGAAGCCATGTTGATGTTATGTGAGATAAGAGTTAATAAATTATTCTTGAACTGGAGGGGAAACGTCCGATAGATATTCAGTAGTGTCATCTGCATAGAACCGTAGAGAGGAGTGTGTGACTTGACGGTTCAAATGATTAATATAAATGTCAAAAAGGAAAGGGTCCAATAGGGACCCCTGGGGAATCCAACTTTAACAGGTGTCTAGTCATCCTATCTTGCAAATAATTCCTCATCAAGTCCAATACTTGATCTGTAAAACCACAGGCTCTTAGCTTTGCAAGCAGTAGGCCGTGGCATACGGAGTCAAACGCCTTACTCAGGTCAACTGTAAGCGTAGGAACAGCCTCTCTGTTATCAAGTCAATGAATGCCTTAGGTCTATTCAATCGGGGTTTAGTTCTCTAGATGGTAAAGAAATTTAACAGCTATGCTAGAAGCCACCAACAGTTGGTCAGTAAATATTGATAATGTTATGTTTAATGGCGTCATTTTTACTGGCCTGAAAAAGGCGTTTGACACCATTGACCGTGACATTCTGTTACTTAAGCTTTCTGCCTATGGGACTGTTGGGAACCTTTTTTAAGGGGATTGAGTCGTATTAAGGGAATCGCGGTCAGACGTGCAAGGTCAACGGTCGTTTACCACAAGTGAGTTCCTCAAGGTTATATATTAGGTCCGTTGCTTTTTTCTGATAAATAAATGATCTCTCAAATTGTTAAGAGAAGGCTTCCTCTACTTATGCTACCTTGGTTACGTCTTACTCAAATGTCCTTGAAAAGGAGGAAAACAAACCTTCGGCGTATGAAGAACAAGTTTAGTCTGAAGATTGCCAAAACTGAATTCGTATTTACTGGCACTCGTCAAAGAATACGGCTACAGGGCAATGAGCAAACACAACTCCATATTGAGGCTAAAAATACAAGTCCTAAAAAAAGCATCTCAGGGAATGTAACTTTCTAGGGTTTTCAAAAAAAATCATGTAAAACAGTTTGATTTTTGTTGTTTAGATTTATTTATACTGCACTTAGCACATTTTTATGACTGTGTGACTTATGATTTCCGTGAATATATAAATAAACTAGACTCGCCGAAAAGCGAGTTTAATTGGGCTGCCGATCATTGCGTGACAAAGAAGGGGAAAACCGTGACCCGGTAAATCTATCAAAGAAGATCTGTAGACAACCACATCGAGAATGATTATTTTCACAACCTAGACCATACAGAATTATTGTACTGCATGAAAACGATGAGTTTACCAGAACATACAGCGAACAGCATTTAAGAGAAAACAACCCACTATAAAACCCTTCACGATAGACAGGCCTTGTTCAACCGAGAATGATGAAAATGATCAATAGAGGTTAACAGGTTATTTTACTGTAATATGCATGACTCTGGGCCAAAGTGCTGATGACACGAACTTAAATTGTTTTTTGTACAAGCGATTCATCTCGAAGCTTTATGTAATTGACCTTGATATATAGTTAAAACCTTACATATACTTTACCTCCTCACATTTACAATGTACGTATTCAGAACACTTTCAGTAAAATACGGGTTATAAACATAAAAAGGTGTTAAGGCCAGCTTTGGACTTTCAAAGTTTATTGAGACTATGAGATGAACTTGTGTGCGAAACTGTTTTCGACGGACGAGCCTTCTTTATCCTTATCCGAAATTTAGTCCTCCACAAGGCGTATGCTGCTTGCATTAGAGAACAGAATCAATCTTTTAACAGACTCTGGGAAGATGGACAAACATGCTTTAATGGATCACGCAACGCCCTCTGAGTTACAGGGTTAATCGCTGATAGAGTTCATTTTTTGACACTAGTCTACCCATTTTATGAACTGGATCTGCCCTATAGGCAGCCCAGTTAATAATAACATTGTTTCAATAAGATGGGCTACAATTACCATAATGATTACATTTCATGTTTTTCTTTTGGAGGGTGGGGTTGGGGGATTGGGAAGGATTTTTAGAAAAATGAAATGATTTTTTTTCCTTTTTTGTGTTATTCCGCAATGACTATGTAGAGTCTTTTTAGCAACATACTGTAAAGTGCGTAAAAAAAGTAATAATAATGATAATAAGAATAAGTTAATTTTAAAGGCACGATCGTTTTCAACACACCGAGCAAACACATATGCTGAGTAGACTGATGAAAGCAATATTGAGGTATTTTTAGTACCTTTTTAAATTAGTGAACTTTTGTCGTTTCTCCTGTGCATCAAGGTCCTTTAAATTGCTTTAAGGGGAAGCAAAAGATCCATTCATTGAGATATTTTTGTGGAGATATATACCTTACTAAACGTTAGAATGGGAAATAATATCTTTTTCAGCCCACATCAGGATAGACTATTATTTTATAATTTACTATATTTATCAGTCATCTTGATTTCTTCCTTCTTTTAACTAAAACAAAACCTCTTTATGCTGTCTTTCATTTAAACGTTCGTGTATTCAATGCGTCTCCCACGTTGGTCATTTTAATATTGTAATTAGGGACAATCAAAAGAAAAAAACGTCATCAAAAAAAAACCTAATCCATCGTTCAACTAATGGTATTATAATTGTGATATCGCCCTGACTTTTCGATTGTTTGATCTTTGCAAGGAATAACCATACAACATTACGATGTTACTTCCTAAGTTTTAAACGACCTTCATAAACGGTCAAAAAAAGTGGACTGAAGAAAGGTATTAAATTATGCTTTCGCGTGGACACGCAGTTGTTAACTTATGTTAATTTGCCAAGTAAAAAAAAATTAGTATCAAAAAAAGTTGAAGTGAATGAGATTGTTATTATCGTTCTGATTACTATTTTTATCCGAAATAACTCAAAGTATACTTTACTGAAATTGTACATTGATTCAATGCATGTTACATAATAAGATACATTAGGTTATTTTTAGGCCTCGTCTGACCAGAACCAAAATATTTTTTGAAATCGCTTAATGAAATTAGACGAATCTGCCTTCTATCCACTTCTAAAAACCAGTGAATCTGGTCACCAAAACCACATTTTTTTTTAAACCGCTCTCCAACTCTGTCACAGATTTGCCAATTCGATCGTGTACATGATTGAATCCGTATATTCTTGAAATTAATTTCCTCCCCATTCGATCTGCTCAGATTCGTCCGGACGGGGCTTTAGTTATCTTATATCTGTCTCATTATTGTTAGCTTACAGTAATGTACACTTCAAACGTTAATATAATTAGTTATGTGGTTCTAATCCCGTCTAGGAAATAATTTTTCTTTGTCCCACTCTCTTGGCATGAAGAACGGAAAAAAACGCCGACTGAAAGTGCGACTACAAAGAGGAAACTGAAACTACAATGATCAATATGGTGCTAATAAATTGATATTGAGACTAGGATCATGATGGAACATACGCTCTACCTCTTGCCCCACCTTCTAAAAATACTTAGCAACATTACAGTGTAACACCTCCTCCTTGACGTTTTTCTAGACTCACACTTGCTATATCAGGAATAATGTCCTAAAATAAGGACTGAACATTTTGAAAACTGTGCACCATCTTTGAAAAAAAAAAAACAAAGAAGACACATTTTCCGTTAAGTCAGTCGTGTGTGGTATACTCTCACGAGTCATATGTGGATAACGACCAATCAGCACGTGTTCTGGCATTGTATTAATTCTAATGGATCATGTTATGAAATAGCGACCTTTAGATTAGACAAACTGAATGACTGCGAGGGGAGCTCGTTACATCCACATATGCTATTCTTCTCACTGTCTTGTTACTGATTAGCATATACTAGAGGGGCTTAAGCAGTACGATTGGTGTCACAAGTGATAAATCTCTAGATCTAAAACATGTGAACTTGGTCTGAAAACGCGATATAGAAAACCGAAGAATTAGATTTTGTATCTAAACAAGAGAGATGAGAACATTTTCTTTTCATCTAGATGTGACAAGAGTTTCAACAATGACATTTCGGCTTCTCGAAAGGAAAGCTTGTTCGTACTTCCTATCAAAAAAAAAGGGAGAGAGTCAGTATAATAAAGGGAGTTAATTTCAGGCAAACTCAGCCGCTGCCGTTCATAGCGAGGTGTCACTGAGTAACAGCGAAGAGCCGGATCATTAACTTAAAGCATTATAGGTGACTGTGTGTGATGAACAGCAATTTCGCGGTATAGAAAATTAAGTAGCAGGTAGTAATGAATAGGTATAGCTAAGGTCGGTTCAACTTTTTAGATAAAATGCTGTGTTGAGAACTTTTTTGAAGTCTTTCGCAAAGAGCCTTCGCAACTGAAGCCTCTCAGCAACATAAAATTACTTTCGGATTTTATTTGAGATGAGTAAAGCATTGCCTCTTTCTTTTGGATGAGTTTAAGTTTGATGTTGGATTTTTGTTAAAAGAGCCACTTTCACTTGTACACATAACAGGGCAAATTCAATTTCATTCATTGCGATAACCATTTTTGGTTGGAGGTTACCGAGGCTGCGGAGTTTCATAGCATCTGAAAATTTTGGCCTCGACGGATAACACCCTCCTCGATCTCCATATTAAAGTCATTAAAAACACGTCGACGGGCTGTTTGTAAACCACCCAAGTTCCAAGTTCGAATAGAAAGAAACTGCGTGGTATGCACAGATAATAATAAACTGAGTCAAAGGTTACGCAACGAAAACGAAATTGCGCAATTTTTATCTAAAAAATCTGGCAAGTGTTTAGATCGAAAAATCTTGAATGCCCTAAAATAAACCATTACCTTTTTCTTGTGCGAGGTTCTGACTTGACCCACCTGATGAAGACAAAATTAACTTATCTGTTCTATCGTATCGATCGAAGTAACTATCGTTTCTTGTTGCAAGAACTCAGCCTTTGAGTGAATGATTTCATGTGGTCAGAAAAGAGCCTTGTCATAAACTAAAGAAATGAATGAAAAATTAGTCCAGCTATTTCCTAAAACGAACTTTTATAGAACTCCAGTGCATTTTCACGTATTAACCTTTCTCAAAGTAAGTTTAATCTCAGCGAATGTCTTTCTTAATGCGTTTTTAGTTAGGGAACAGCAGATGTGAAACTCTGTTTATTTTTGTCATCTCATGAATGACGGCCGTATCAGTGCGTTATTGCATTTTAAATATTGCCCTTGCAAATAGAAGGGTGTAAGATTTCAGTTCCAACTAAGTCGCCGAGGTCATATGGTCAGAAATTATAAGCTGCTGATAACTCAGGAATAAACAAAGCTCCGACCCCAGCTACCTTGAAAGACCACGATGCGCCAGTTCACGCCGACGAATCGATACCTAGGAATGTTATGTCACAATAACGATTTTAGCTGAACTGATTAGTGGTATCTGCTGATGTGCACCAAATGTCTCTTTTCAAAAGAATCCGCAACTTTTGGGGAAAAAAAACGTACACTGCTTCAAAAGAGAAATTGAGAAACTTACGTAATAGTTCAATTATATAATTATTTTTTGGTGAAAAAAATTCTACGAAAAGGAATAGGCTAAGTATGATGTTTAATATCAAAACCGTTTGCCAACTGAAGAATCCGCGCAAAACTGATGATTAGCCGAAAGAGTAGTTCATTGATAAGTGACTCCACTTATCTCCATTTTTACAGTGAAAAAGAGGATTAGATAACTTTACTTTAATCCGATAATTTCCAGTTCCGTTTTTCTTGCTTTCCCACTGCAATTTCCTGTTCAGAGTTAGCGTTACAGTCCATGAAGGTCGTTCTCAATGCACTGAAAAGGAAAAGCTATTAATTAAGACCATCCGGCTTAGCTTGAAATACATTTTATTCATTTATATGCGCAGTTTTTTACTTTGAAGCCTTCTAGAGAGTTCTTTTTACGAAACCGTTTCCGAAATACGTTTTTGGTGCTGCTCTACTTAGTCTGAAAAAATTTAATTTTGACTTGCAATATTGAAAACATATACCAATTATTTTCAAGTGCCTTTAGGAAGGAGGAGATCTTTCTTATTTCCATGCACTAAATATTTTTATTAACATGTTTTGAAAGACAAAATATATGCGTTAACCACCGTAAATCATAAAACAAATGAAACACGCCAATCACCCTCTCCTTATTCCTTACCGGATACTTTCAATGGTTAATAAACATTTGATTATTCAAAATCACGCGTTCAATAAGACATATTTCTTCCTTTTGACAGCAGGAAGGGATGAATTACAATATCTCCCTTGTCGTGCAAAAGTCCTTCAGTAAAACTTAATGGAATAACCTAAAACAATCGTTCACAGCTGTCACTTAAATGGTGTTTAGAGATAAGGGGATGAAAAGACATTAATTAAGAGGTGAAACCTCTGTAGCATGTTTTCAAAAGAACGTTTTAGCACGCGTAGATCCCTATAAAGCGAACGTTTTTACTGCTGATTTTATTGATCAGAACAGAGGGATTTCTCCAGTTGGACCTGTTTTTATAGGCTTTCAATACCTTGATTTTTTCGTGAAATGCTAGACGCATGATGAATGCTACACACCTGAAAGCCTCGAACTCTACCATACCAGTTTGCGGCTCCGTAAAATGCCAGTTTTCCGTGGGCAACAGAGTGGCCATTATTTTCTTCTTCTTCCTTATCTTCGTTGCCTCTTTCATTGGGAACAGCATCCTGTCCTTTTCAATAATCCGCCATAAGGGGATGCGTCGAAGCTCGACCAACTTTTCCGTTCTGAGCCTCAGCCTCGCAAACATTCTTATCACAGCGTTCTGCATTCCAGTTTTTGTGATCGACGCTTTTATTGTAGATAAGTGGACGTTCGGTGCAATCGGCTGCAAACTGGTCGCTTTCCTTCAAAACCTTGCCATAAATGCCTCTATTTTCACACTCGTTATCATCAGCGTCGAGAAGTTCTTGGTTGTTTGCTTTCCATTTCGAGTACGTTCCCAGAAAACTAAAGTTCGCTACTTGGTTCTTGGCGGATGGGTTGTTGGAATCATCCAGTCATCGGTGTACTTGAGTTACAAGAAGTTAAAAATGTTTAATGGAATTCCCTATTGTATCGATGTCTGGCCTTCCTTCAAGACTCGGCAGATATTCCTTGTTGTTGAGGCAGTTGCCCTGCGTATCATTCCGCTCGTGCTCATGATTGCTCTCCATGTCGTCACAATCGTAAAGATCAAGGCAAGATTGAAGTATCGAGCGCAAGAAAACTCTGCAGCAAAGTTAGCAGCGGTGAATGTCGTTGGTTCGCAGGCCCTCAAGAAGAGACAGAGGGCTGTTGTTATGCTGGTGTTTATCGTCACTGCAGCTGCTGTAACCCTCTTTCCCCACTACTGCTTTAGGTGCTGGCGTTTGTTGGCTAATTCGGCGAAACTTCCAGACGTCTACACTTTTAATATCTTTATTACCGTGTTCACATGGCTGCTCTTCTTTAACAGTACCTGTCATCCCATCATTTTTGGGCTCATGAGCTCCAAGTATCGCAAGGCAGCAAAAAGGACATTATCTATAACTTGGAAATCCCCACTAGGTTCGAGCATAGGGAAAAAGAAAAGGCAACAACTTATTCTGATGGCCGAGCAAGGTGGGAACTTTAACCCTTCAGCATCGACTTAATATAAACCTTAGACCAGTTTAATAAGATGTATGCTCACTAGACAGGTTCAAAAGTCCCTACAATATAATCAGTACGATACGTACGCTGATACGTAGATATTTGTTGGCTTTTTGTTATTTAATAAGAAAAAACAATTTGTAATAGGCAGTGGAAAACACTGCCGACATTGTTTTTTAATATTTTAATTTGAAAATTCAACGAAAGACTGTTAAAGGGAGCGCCTCCTAGCGATATTTTTAGAGTGTTAGATGAACGTAAGACTGCATGTAGTAATTGTTAGGTTGCGTTCGAATTGGCAGGGTGATCAGCAATTACAATTGCAAATCAAATGCGTGCACCCTTGGAAACCTATCGCTCAAATTGATTGAAAATGTTGTGGAAAAGTACTGACCTCGACTGTTCTTCATCGAACTTTTTACTAATTCCTTGTAAATTGAAGTCTAGAGTGACATTATGAAAAATTCCTTGCAAAGAATGAATTGCTATTGTAACGCTTCTTTGCTGTTAAATGTCATCAGCCATTATTGCGTAACAGTATATTTATTTCCAGTTTTACACAAAGATTTTAACCTAGGTTTCTTTTAGTGTCTATAAATATCGGTGAATACCCATTGATGTAATATAACTAATTTAATCAAAATTAAAGAAATAGTCATTAAATTTTGGTCACATAGCATATTCTAAAAGGAAAAACCTTTTGAACTTTTAAACTTATACAAAGCAATTAGGGTATTTTTTGCGAAGTGTCAAGTTAATTTGACCAATCAAATGAACGCTGGCCAACTGAATTTTTAAACATTGTCACAGTGGTACTTTTTGCCTAAAGTCTTACTGAATTATGCTAAATCACTATTGCGAAATATGTAATTCCTCACTTTTACGAGGTCGAATACTAACGTCTCTGTGCAGTGGCTATTATAACATCCTGCAGGTGTAATTTTAAAAAAGCGTGTTTCTGTTATGCAATGCAAAATGTTACGTAACTGTTTTTATTGTCACACTTTTTAGATGTTAGGAATAAGCCACTGAAAAAACACAAGCTACGTGCCTCGTCTTTCTCTCTAATCATTAGATCTACTATCCCTGATAAAAATATTGTCTTTTTTTCAGTCTGCATTCTGTAAATAATTGTTTCCTTATATAGTAGCAGAAATGGGCGGTATTTGTGTCAATTAAAATGCTTTCAAAGGGAAAAAAAAACAATGGAAGTAATAAAGAAAACTATGTAATATCATTTCTGCCTTGAGGGTTACTTTGTATTTGAGTAACTTACTTTAAACATCTAGGGTTATTTTTGGTATTGTCGGTTTTTACAAACAGCAAAAACATGAACTGGTGTGTCCGTTACGTAACATCAGTGTGGTGAATGACTTAGTTTAGACACTTCCCTTCAGGCATTTGATTCCAGCTCTGCAAATAAAAATCCATCGATTACAGAGAGCAGCAACTTTTTAGTTCACCAAGTCAGAATAAGGGTTTCGACCAAAGGTATGATACTTGATAGACTCTTGATAGACCTTTCGATAACAATTTTGTCGCGAAAATGGAAATCAGATATGGCTGCAGATATCCGTTTGCTTTAGTTTATGAATCCAACTGGGTAAATAATCTCTTTCATGATTATAAACAAAAGCCATTTTTGCTGCAGGTTTGGATGACTCTGGCTCTTTTTGTTTGTTTGTTTGTCTTTTTGTTTGGCTGCAAGATTGCTTGTATTCTGCTAGCCATTAAAAATTATTTGAGGATTTCATTAACCCCTTTATTCTTAGAGGCTATGTTAGAGACGTCACGTCTCAAGTTTGCTTCTGTATCAAATAAAACGTCTACCGCAGTACTTTTGAGAAGGTGGACGAAACCTTGGCTAATTAATGATGTGATCATTCAAATTAAACCTCTGCTAGCACTTTCGCATGATATCAACTGGTTTTTCAACAATTTACACAAAAAATAAATTTTGAATTATTTTTGTTGTATTTTGCATCTCCTGTATTATTTCATTTATGTTAAGTTATCGTTGTAATTCTTTTTTGTGCATGACTGCTTAATTCTGTCATGTTAGATCTTTTCTTCTCTCTTAGAACTTGTCGGTGGGGCTGCAACCAGAGGGCATATTAAATCTTATTAAACAGCGACCCTGCATGTTTTACATGTTTGTCTCGATACTTGAAACTAATTTAGCGACAATTCGCTTCAATTTACTCAACTATTAGTCACAGCCGCGTGTTACTGTCATCCTTGATACTGAAGAACGGAAAAGTCTTGCTTTGAATGTTTTGCCCGCAGAGCTTCGGGCGAGTTTCGAAATAGGCTTGATGATGATTCACATGTTCATGTTATGTAACTATTATATACAAGATGTAAAAGGAAATGGGAATTGTTTATTTTCCGCGAACTGTTTCAACAGATAAAATAGTGTTTAAAAATAACATTGTTGATAGAACAAAGCTGCTTTCTACGTCTGATCTTGGCCTTAAATTTCACTGATAAGCTAAGTTTGAAATAGAGTTGATCGGGTAGATCAGTAGAGGATTATTTAATTTATGGCCTTCAGTCTTCGGTTACACAAAACGTACTTGTCATCTGGGAACCGCAATAAGCAAAGTTGAAAAAGACAGTCAAAAACAAAAACGTGATGTGGTTGACATTGGATATAATTAAATAAAAAAGTTTAAAAAGTGCAACCACGCAATGCATGGAAAACTTACTTAATTGCAGGAATTTTGCCCTTAGTGCATACTGGAACGTACAAGGTTGAACTTAGGAATGCGTAATTTTCCACCGCTGTGAATTAAAGCCAGCAAACTGGCTGACGCGTTTTCCCATTTTACCTCCAAGAGCTTATTGGCTTTTTAATGCGGTTGTGACCATACAATATCGGTCCTGGGGAAGTTTTGTGTCCAGCAGTTTTAGTGAAAACAAGGGTTTGTGGGGTTGCTCAGTCTCGCGGGTTTACAAAACCTTCCCTTGGTCGATCTTTTTTTGTATTTGCCTTTTAAAGCAAGCCACCAATTTTCTAAACGGAATCCACTTTTCGGAGCCTTAATTTAGACGACTGCCCCGAACATACTAGAACATTTTAAAAGGCCAACAAGAACAACGCCGATTTTTTGTGGCATTTTGATTCAAAAGTTACTACTTTGAAAAGGAATATAACAGAGGTTCCGTGCAATGTTACATAAATACCGTGAATGCTTGAATTACCGCCCGGGGCTTTTTGTATGATTTTCCTCGACAACTATAAAAGCTTTGTGTAATTGCGAAAACGGCGACGTCAATGAAAACGTCTCTGAAAAATAGTCTTCACATCCTTTTAAACTTTTTCGCGATTATCCAATTCGCCCTGTTACTTAAAAGTTCTGACAGAGATGGTAGAATTTATCGCCTTGCCGTTTCCCTTCTCAAGAAAACTTAAAATTTGTCATTTCACGTCGTAGTTGTCCACGGACAGCAAAAACGCGTGATGCACGTTCAGAGTTGTTGTTTTGTTCATTAAACCTATTGCTTTTTTGACGTTCTCCTTTTCCTTGCCATCGTAGTTTCGTAAGGTCCCTGTTAATTGGAAGGGGGGCGCTTATTCAAAGAGGGCGTTTATCTTGCTTTTCAAATTTCGTCCTCTTTATTTCCAGCATAAAAAAAATCCTAAACTGGAACGTACAGTATCTCGGCTGTAAGAAGAAACACAATTTTATAAAATAAGCTTAATTTCACATAAATCCTCTTTGATTCCTTTTAGGAAATCTTTGTGGTATTGAAAGCTCTTCTATTTTTCTTCATATTTACAGTAAGCTTTTTCATTCTTGGGGGAGAGTTGGGGCTGTTTATTAAAAGAAGGCCCTGAAAGGCGATTGAAGATGATAGGTTTGTTTAGTAAAGCGACTCCTAAAGGTAGGTTTTAATGTTAATATTGCTTATAAATGAAACAAGCTGTGTTTGAATATCATGACAACGCCGATGGTATTGAGGCAAATGCAGAGTCGCATGACCCTAGATAAACTGAGAAACATAGCAGGAAACCGATCATTATACAAGTGATAAATAAATTTTTAAGACAGAATCGATCAGGAAATTGAGTAATTTTGATTTTCAGTGGACAAAAACCTTGTACCAGACTATTGCATCCTTTTTTACATCTTTAAAGGGCCAAAGATGTAATTAGTCATCTGTAATAACACCAAAGAAAATTTGTAATAGGAGTCCGAGAAAATGAATGTCAAATTTCACAAGAATTGTGAAAACACAGGTAAAATTCTAAAAATTTCATGTGTACCATATCAGTTTGTGAAATTTGACATTTATTTTCTCGGGCTCCCATACGAAATATTGCAGATGACTAATTACATCTTTAGCCCTTGAAAATGTTAAAAAGAATGCTATTTTATATAAATTATTCTGGTACAAGGTTTTTGTCCACTGAAAATTGAAATTACTCAATTTTCTGGTGAATTCCGCCTTAATCATTTTTTCTAGTATTTCGTTTAGGGACACACACTTTACCATTTTGTTCCTTTCGAAAAGGTTTTTATCAAACGGCCCAGTCGGGCACAAAATAGAATCCCTTCATTTTGCTTTTTCCATCGCCCGAGGTTTCACTTCATTAGACAATTTGCTGCAACGTTCAAGGAGCTTTTTTAATGGCCAAGAACTCTGTTAGTATATCACCTCTTAGTAAAATCCAACTAGTGGTCTATTATCAATGCTCGGTTCTGATTGGTTGAGCTACTACTAGGCTATCAGTTGTAGCCCACTAGTAGCGAAGAGTGCCGGCTTTGAAAACCAAAACAAAGGCGGCTGATCGTGTTTTGCTAGCTAAAGTTGTTTTGTCTCGATATTTTTTACCAACTAGCTGGATTTTACTCAACAATTATTCCTCTCGCCCTCATGGCCTCTGAGTCAATAGCCCATGAGGCCGAATGGGACTATTGACTCAGAGCCCATTCGGGCTCGAGAAATGATTGGTCATAAATTATAATAGCCCACGGTTTCCAATTTATTAGAAACCAAAAAATCTGAAAAAATCTCTACTCCAGGTCTACTAACGTTTTTCGGGGCCGATGGTTAAGCTAAGGGCTTAGCTTCCTTAAGGCTCCGATCTCCCAATCACGCAGGGATATAGATATGTATTTTTAGGTTGGGTGCAACTGCCGTTGACACTCATGTCAGATGATCTTGCTATCTCCGAGACCACTCTGAAGTGCATGAACAGTGATTGTAACGGAGCCCTTGCGTGTAAGCCCGGGGGGGTACTGCCATATATGGGCTATATAGGTATGTGCCGCTGTGAAGGGTATGGTTTTCAAGCAGTTTACTCTAGGATAGGGTATATAAATCAGAGCGTTTGGCTCTAGAATAGGGTATCATTTTTCAGGAAACCGATCAGTTGGTTGAAGATTTTATCTAGACTAGGTACACAGCTACTCTAGGATAGGGGAATTTGGGGAGTTTACTCTAGTATAGGGTAGCAAAATTCAGCTGAACTAGCTCTGGTAAAGGTTAAGGGTTCCAGGCTCCCAGCGGCACATCCCCACCAAGATATTCCTAAAGTGCCCCCCCCCGGGCGTGTAAGTACAATTACAACAGCGGCAAGTTAAGAATACGACATAGTTCAATCGAGATATAGTCCATAATGACAACAGTTGGCCACTTAGACTCATTCCCGATCTTGGGCGTGGGCCGGTACCTAAGCATTTTAATGCTTAAGTACTAGTTAAAACTAGTTTTTACCACTCGAAGTCCGTACATGGCCAAAATTAAAGTTCATGCACGCACGGTACCAGCGAACACTTAGAAAAATGACAACAGTTTACAATGGAATTTTACAAAGAAATGCGGTATAAGTAAAATAATTCGCAAAACGGCATGTTTGGCAATATTCCTGGACAATTTGTTCAGTGTGAGACTGAAAGGTTGACTTCTTAAAATTTCGCGCTTCCCAGAATGGAAATAATTAATACCAAAATACCTTCGAATTCGTTTCTATAAAAGTTCTTTGCAAATAGAGCACTGCCATCGTTTTTTAACCTCTTTCTTCACTATTAATAACAACTCCGTTGGAAAACTCTCAGTTGCTCGGTTGAAAACTTGAAGATCTTTCGTGAGTTTTCTTCCTATTGAAAAAGTAGATTTCTTTATTCCCATAATTAAAGAATTTGGTGTTAATTCTGTTGGTAAAAGCTCCTCTTCTACACGGCTAAAATCCAAGACCTTCGTTCTACAATATCTCCGCCACAAATCATTCAAAACACGGGTATGTATTGGTCAAATTCCCCCCCCCTCCCCCCGGGCATACCCCGGGCATTTGACACCTTTGCAGTCCCGGGGAGGAGGGAATTTGATTATCAGAATTTTCCAGTGGGTGGGGAATTTGATTCCCACGCGTAGGGGGTGGGGATGAACCGTAGCCTCGATTTCATGTGAAATCTCTGTGCGCTTTGCATGTGGCGAACTATCGTGGCGGACGCAGTGTTAGAGGATTTTCGTGGAAAAGATTGATTGGTTGCGAGGAAAGGACTTGAACAAGCTTTGTGCCGTATTTGAAGGTATTTGAACGTTAATATTTTCAATACTGGATTCAGACTTTATACATGAATGTACTGAGTTGTGTTTACAATGAAACCGGCGATTCAATAAATAAGCTCAACAGAGGTCAATTACACGTACTTTGACCTGCCGCATGTATGTTTAATAAGGTGAGCGATGATGCATGTCAGTGAAATGCTCGTGAATACGAATATTCCATGTATGAAATGTAGTAATCTCAGGAGGTGGGATTCTTTTTATAGAACGCTTTGTATGTTGCATGACACACGAAGAAAAGCTGAGCATTCAGTGACCTTGTAGCAGCGATTTCCGCCGCTTTGCTCGAGATTTTTGCTCGTAGTAAATAGGCCTGCAGTGTTTCTTAGTTTTTATCATATTGAATGCGAATTATTTGCTGTATTTATAAAAGATTTTGTTCGACAACTGAAGGCGTTTCTGCCGTCCTTCTGTCACTCATGTGCCTGTGAAATGTCCCAAGGTGGGGCATTTGATCACCTGAATGGACCCTAGTGTGGGGCATTTGAACGGCATTTTGGCTGGGGAAGGGGTAGCCTCTCACACAGTCGTTCTTAGGGGTTCGTCACGCTTTCCTACCTAAGGGCCTGTTTACATGGAGTGGAGGACCCCAGTCTAGTGGGGTTGGTTTCTTTTGTTTTCACGCTCTGGGGGACACAAAACAAAAGAAACTTACCCCACTAGACCGGATTTCCCACTCCATGTAAACAGGGTCTAAGAACACCTGCGTGGGAGGCTAGAGGAGGGGGGAATTTGAACAATAATTTTCAAAAAAGTCAAATGCCCGGGGGGTTGCCCCGGGGGGATGTTAAAGCTTCGATTTGACCGATGATACATGAATAAACTAGAAATGCAGCATTTTACGATTATTTGCGACTAATAATCGTAGTATCTGCGTTTTACGACTATAATAATAATAACAATTATTATTATTATTATAATAATTCAATAAGTAAACTATTGGGCAGGTATTCATAAAAATGATGAAATGCGCATTACATTGGTAATGAAAGCATAAAATAAAAAAAAATAGTATTTACAATTCGAAAAACAATACGAATATATACACTTCGTCAATAAAAATCTAAAATTTCGATATGTAACAATTAGAATTCATTTAACTGCAAACTTAAAAAGGTGCGTTTTAAGATGGCTCTTAAAGTATGTGAGTACGGAATCTCGCGAATCTCGCGCTGTAGAGTATTCCATGCCATAACTGGAAACACATATCGCTTTGTGTGGCCTTAGTTCTAAATGTTGGCGATGCTAGCAAAATTCCACCAGACTATATGAGGTTATATGCGCCTTGCGATTTCGAAGAAACTAAGTTCTGAATGTATGTAGGGGCTATGCCACAGATAGCTTTGAATGCAAATAACAAAGTCTTAAAATGAATGCGCAGCTTTAACGGAAGCTAATGTAGCTCATACATCAATGGTGTAATATGGCTGAAGTGCGGGGCGCAGCAAACAGGCCTCGCGGCATTGTTTAAAACACGCTGAACCTTTATTGCCTGTACTCCAAAAGTATTTTGAAACTATTAAATGAATTGACATCTTTTCTAAATTTTCTCCAAAACCTTGTGTTTGAAAGTTCGTTTCTGATCATAGACATTTTATCGCCTGTTTCTCATTTTGGCAGTATTTTTGATCAGCAGCTTTTATTTGACCATAAACAACCAAGTATCTGACCACTAGTAAACACTGTAAAAAAAATTAAGAATTAAAAAGTCCCATGAAGGTTTGATGTGCGAGATTTCTGGCCATGCTTACCGGAGATCAGGCTCTATTTAGGCCGGATCTTAGGCTAAATATGCACCTATCTGGGATCGAGGATATCTGCACCGGTGATAATCAGATAGAAAAATGGCCGAAAATTTAACTTTGCCTCTCTCTTGCTGAGAGAAGTTGTGCCTGGAGCAACGGCAGCCTCCACTGGGATTCCATGGACCAAGGAAAAAAAAACACAAAGTAGCCAGAAGTCTAACAGGGCTGGGAAGCGTCAAGAGCTTTGGCGAGGATAGTAAAGCCCACCGAAATCTTGGGAATGCCATTAACAGCCTCTTCTCGAGCGAAGAACAAGCACACTGTATAATTATCTTGATGGTGTTACCTCTTCTTGGTGGATAAACCCTCGCATGCCAGCTGTGTGGCAGTAAAAACGTGTGTTTGGGGCTGAACCGAGGGAGGCGAGTTTCTTGTCTTCTAAAAATACTTGTCCCAATGTTTATTGTACCGTTAAGTCACAAATCTCAGTTGTACTGTACTCTTGAAGAAGGCCGAGACGGTCGAAACGTAAAGTAAAGGCATATTAAGAAGATCTATTTGGAGTTGATTATTGGACATACTTGTGTTATTTGTTTTATTGCATTAGATTTGTTTCGTGCTTCCCTCTGATTGGTTGTTCTTGACATGATAAACGAGGTAAATCAGTTGGCGGTACTTTTTGAAATATAATTTAATTTCAATCTTTGATTTAGTTATCCAGTTCATATTTACAATACTTAAAGTAAAAGTAACCCCATGAAAACTCTCCATAAAATTATTGCCCGACAAATAAAGAGGAAGATCGCATTCACTAATTTTCAGCTACTAAAACTTGTAAAAATAGGCTAGCCAAGTAAGAAAACGAGTGCTATGCTTTAGTCTATAGACCTGACAGTTTCAAGACCATTGGAAGTAATGGCTACATATTCACAGTTGCAATAATTCACAGAATTAGAGGGCTGTGCGTTTTCCGTTCTATGGTGTTCCAGATCTTTTCTAGATTCATGCTAATTGAAGGATTAACTGATAATTAGTTCAAAACGGCAAACGTTATCAATTGCATGGAAATTTCCGTTCAGCCTGATCGAACTACATCAACATGCGCTGTGATTGTTAAAGATGCCTTCCAAGTTAGCACTCTTAGGGCTTATGTGCGACAAGTCTATTGGAAGACATTTTGCGCAATTCAGTCATTGTATTTCATATGGAAGCAAAACTTAAAAACAGACTACAACGTTCGTTTTCTTCTTCTTCTCCCTTATTCATTTCTGTTCACTTTTTTTTCAATTCTTCCTGTGAAGTTTGTGGAAGATGTGGTGTTTCTTTGCTCCCTTCACTGGCCTTGGGGCGTGGTGACGTTTACCGTATTGATAAGGTGCGGGGTTGTATACCGTGTTGCAGCAGGCTGGGGTGCATCCAACAGGTGCGCAAGTGTTCGGGCAGGAGTTAGGGCAAGTTCCTGCGACTGGGACGGGGACTGGAACTGGAGGAGGAGGAGGCATGTAATAAGGTTGTTGATAACCCATTGGATAACCCTGCTGGCAACACGTGTCATAGCAAGAAGGTGCACAGGCTGATGGGCAGGGTATCGGGCACACAGGTGGAGCAGGCTCCTTGTAACAAGCTGCAAAAAGCAGAATGCAGTTAACACTCCTCAGTGTAATCCTGTTAAAGATATATAGAGGATATTACATGGCCGCGCGGGGATACGGAATTTCGCTTCGAGTGTTGAAATATTATTTCAACACGAGAAGAGAAATTTCTTATCTCCAAGCGGCCATGTAATGTTCTATTTATTATATAAACACCAATGAAATACCAAAACATTTCACTTTAATACTTTTTTGGTGTGAAAGGCGCGATTTATTATGTAGCCATAGTAAAGGTGATATTTTCACATGTGAAGATAACATGTTATTTTCACATGTGAAGATACCCCGTTTTCGCGAGAAAGCTCAACTCGTATTTCACTTGTGTTTATATAATAAATAAATATATTAGATATAAAATGTGTTTTATGGTGACCATGTAAAGCAGTTCGCAGTTGCTAGTAGAATCTAAAACTAAAGAAGTGTTTGTAATGGTTCTTTCTAGCACATCAGCAGTAACATTTTTAAATAAGTTGCCCTTCCTCCTCATTTTTGATTCGAAAGTAATAGTAACTGACACAGCATTTTTATTTTCCACCTTTAAATAACACAGCATTAAGAAATGTTATAGCTTAAGAGATTTCAAACCTGCTTGGTCAAGTTTTGGAGCGACTGACACAGGGGTTAGCTTGCCCAGTTTACCCAACGTTATGGCCTTTGTCAAGTTTGGAAGATGAGTTCCATTGGTGGTGAACTCCACACAGAAGTGCACGATGGACTTGCCGTCTGGTGCTTTGCTATTTCCGAAAAGAAAAGGTTTAAATAAATACTTGCAAGACTCAAGGTTGGAAAACTAAGTATGGTAAAAAGAAGACGTGTTCTCTTACGAAAAAACTTGATCGACCCTCTGTTTTCCCTAATGTATTATAATGTATTAAAGGATATTCTCGAGCACAAAGGAATCGTTTTCTATTCTTTACTCTATTCATTAATTTATTTATATATTTAAAAAGACTTAAATATAACGTCTCCGAGAAGTCTCAATAGGCTGATTTAGCAACAGCACGGGAACGTCAGTTGACGACGGCGCGCGCAAATCAAACAACTGGCTCGACCAATGGCAGAGCGGCAAATTGGGCACCGGAAGTCGAGTTTAGTCCTTACAGCGCGCTTTCCCGTCGTCAAGTGACGTTCCCGTTCTGTTGCTAAATCAGCCTATCATAAAAAAGGACAATGTTATCATAGCTTGAGAAAACAGCCGACAGTTTCGGGACGCCCTCAGTGGTTTCTCTGCGAAATGACGTCTGATGAATGAGTTCAGAATTGCGTATTGATGGTAGTGCTCCTGATTGATCATGCCGCAGGGGAAATTTAATTCAACCAATCAGAAGCACTACCCAGATCTGGGTAGTGGCACGCTTTCAGTATGAAATTTTCTGCGCCCAGGTACTTCGGACGTCATTTCGAAGGGAAACCAGTGATGACGTCGAGAAACACCTGCTGTTTTCTCAGGCTAATGTTATCAAATTTAGTGAACCAACATAGCTACCTGAATCTTAGGGTAGTGACACCTACGAATGGCTTGTATCCATCATACACTTGCATAATCTAATTACAACGGATAAAAATCAGTGAGATTGTACTTTAAGGAGCCACACAGTTGACTTTTAAAAAACGTAAACTTTAAAACATACATAACGCAATGGCATGTACCTGGGACAGCAAAATGATTTTTCTAGCTGTTCTCTTGAATTTTTCAGGTATTTTTGTGTTTTTTTCTCTAAAGCTCATTAGTACAGATCTGTCAATAACTTTAGAGTATACTTACTCCAACTTCAAAATCCGTTCTAAGCTTGATGAACTTAGCTGAGTGTGGATTTGCTAAATCGTCAGTGTAGGTAGCATTCGTAAGCTTCAAAGTCAAGTTGTAGACAGAGCCTAAAACATTGAAATAATAAAGAATTGACTCCTTTTATCTCAGCAGAGGCTATGACCTGGCTTCTAAAAATCCTACCAAGAATTCAGCCTTAATTGGTTCAAAAAAAGGCCATTGGACAGAAATCAACAATGGATATTTTTAAGTTTCTTCCTGCAATTTTTGTTCCCATCTCTTGAATATAACTAATGCAACCCGTTCGTCGTTTAGTTAAGTTGTTAGTGATTACTGTATGTATTATTAGTAGTATTGTAATCAGCAAATTACCTGTAATTAATAGATCGAAAGGAACAAAGTGACCTGACAAACTGGCATCGCAGAGTTGTTATTAAGACCTCTTTAGATTGTATGTTTTGTTTTTCCAATGCAGGTCATGTGATAATACTATAAAGAACTGTTTCTTTTAAATTTCGCCTTGGAGAATTTATTAAAAGACAAAGAGCCAAATTCCCCAGGGTCCTTCATTGGGAAAACAAAGCATAAAAGCTAAAGAGGTCTATTTATTATATAAACACCAATGAAATACCAAGTGAGCTTTCGCGCGAAAACTTGATATCTTCACATGTGAAAAGAAACATGTTATCTTCACATGTGAAAATATCACCGTTGTTATGGCTTCAAAATAAACTGCACCTTTCACACTAAAAAACTATTTAAGTAAAGTGGTTTGGTATTTTATGGGTGTTTATATAATAAATAGAACATTACATGGTCGCTTGGAGATACGAAATTTCTGTTCTCGTGTTGAAAAAATTTTTCACTCGTTCGCAATATTTTTCAACACCTCCAACACAACATCTCCGCGCGGCCATTTAATATCCTCTAATTCTTTCAGTGAATTAGCATTGCAGTCCCACCACTTGTTAATTTCAGTATACCTTCTGCAAGAAAGAGGAACAAACGATATTTATTTATCTATTGCAGGCGACAAGAGGAGCACGCAATCCTAATTTCCAGGTTGTTATTACGCATGCGTCGCAAGTATTTAGCAGCATTCGTTTGGACTTCCACTAAGAATGAATGGAATGTACAGGACGCAATTTGATTACTCGCGTTTGGACCTTCTATCTTTCGCAATCTGATCACTCGTGTTTTGACCATCTATCACGGGGAGACTTACGCAAAGCATAGAGTTTGAGCATGGTTAGCAGTCCCTTCTACTAACTATGGTTTGAGCAAAAGCGTTTTGACCTTCGATCTTTGTCGCCCACACTCCGTAACCTTTGGTTATTACTAGTTTACTTATTTACCTATTTATTTTTTAGTTATCTATTCGTTATTAAGTAGCAGTAATTAAATAGTTTTCGTACACCTACATTGTAAAGTATCCGGGTTGGTAACATTGGTCACATTTGCAGGGTTGGCGGTGGTAGCTGGCTGCGTTGGTGTTGGAGCAGCTGTCGTAGCCGTAGCTGATTCGGTGTTGGAGATAAAAATTCAGATAAAAAATTGCTCATTTTAATTAATTCGTATAACGTAATCGTCTAACAATTTTCTTTTTTCTGGTAGTGGCGTGGGGTTGTATTTCCTTATTTACTAAAGGCAATGGATACATTGTAAATACCTTTTATGGGCTCTTCTGCATGCGGACACAATTATAAAAATGACAAACATGGCAATGGGACATCGACTTAATAGACACGTTGCGACTTGTCTGTTATCGAATCAATAAATTATTATGGGAAAATACTGAGAAATATATAAACAATCCCATACTGCAATACAAACTAAAACTAAAGTGCAAGACTTGTTGCAATGTTTAATTACTGTTTGTCGGTAAGATAACTTTTGGTATTCTGTGTTTGATGTCCGGAATTTTTATTTCCACCAATCCTAGATACCCATAAGGAACTACCTTCACGGCTTAGACTTTTCATCTAAAAGTAGGTCTTCTATTTCGTGTATACAATGCTAAATGTTATCGGAAAAATATTTCAATGGACCGGAGCTTTGGTCAGGAACTCTGCGCTGGTGAACGGACTGGATTTTCAAAGCAATTGATGTAAATCCTTAAAGGGGAGATATTTTGCTTCATGCTCGTTTCCACATTTAACTTATTATTACTTTTTCCCGAAATTTGCATGTCATTGAATATTTGTGTAAGTCAGTTATGGCACCCACTTAAAATTGCTCAGATCAGTATAACGAGGCAACAACCCGAAAAGAAAAAAACCAACACTGTTAGGTCAAACCGCTGGATAAAAAATCTACAGGTCATCCTTTGTAGCCGGCTTTGTGCGACTGATCAAATCATACCCTGCTCTCCTTATTTGCATATATATTGATTTTCATCTGCGTTTTCTGATAATAAGTAACTTTCAATTCAGGGTAACACTATCACACAGACTAGTTAAACTGATGAATACGACACCAAATCAAAACTTTTATTCCTTCACTTACTTTGACCGCCTGAAAATGCGAAGCACGCGGACAGGAACAGCGCGCAACAGAAAACTTTCTCGCCCTTCATCGCTTGAAAACTACAGCAGAAAACAAAAACACAATTTAAGATTAATTTGGCTTGAAATCATCTCTACATATCAAGAGAAAGGTCAGAAACGTCGACAATGGGTTGATCAGGTCTTGAGTGAGGTCATACCCCTTATCGACACTTTCGTGGCGTAAAATGGCGAACAATCGATCCACAAGCACGAGGCGTCTTAGTGCATGGTAGGAATGAGCAAAGAAAGGAGAGAATCGATGGAGAATTCAACTGGTACCAGACTCTAACTTTCTGTCTTTGTGTTTTATTTGTTAAGGGGTAACCATGCGTTAAATCTCCAGAGGAAGCCGACCAGTTTACAATTAGAGAGAACTGGTCTGTTTTAGAGTTTTAGTAAAACACCTAAATTGCAAAAGAAAACTTAGCATTTCAACTTTTACAATCGTTTTAGAAGCGATTGCTGCAAGAAAATTTGTTAACTGTATGGTTATTCGTCTTTAACCACAATTTGGGGTCCTAATAGGGAGCCTCTCTATGGGTACCTGCGGACGTCGTTTTTGGCGCGCGTTTTTTATCAAATGGTCGGTTTTTTGACGAAATCTTCGAATAACAAGGATTGTTTCGCATGATTACGCGAGTTTGAACAACCACGACGACGACGGAAACGAGAATATCAAGAAATTATAACCAACAATCTCATCGTGCAGCAAACTTTTTGGCAGATCTCTGCGTCATAATCCCAGGACAAACATTGTGAAACTTGATCGCAATGGCAATGCCATCGTCGCTCTAAGCTTTAAGATGCAACGACCGTCGAGGACCGTAGCAAATGCCCATAGAGAGACTTAACAGGTGTAAATGTACTTCACTAAAAGATCAATCTGATTAAAGATCTGTGACAGAAGATGATCTTTAATTGTATCATCATCAAACGGTAAGTTTCGTTTTCTTGGAAACTATTCGGAGAGCATTCAAAATCGTTGCTTAGCCACCCCGGAATGATAAAAAAAAATCAAATAAAACGATCTACCTTAGAAATTGAAATAGTAATGATAAATTGGCGTGTGAACATTCATTAATGGTTAGTTATACTGACTTAATCCGACTTAAGGCAAAATAAACCGCCATAGTAGAGTTGTTTGAGTGTAAAGTGAAGTTAAATTTTGATTAGCACGGTTTGGAATGTGTTGGTTATCACGGCTGTTGAGTCTAAATCGTGTTAAGACAAAATATTTTTGGTTTTCAAATTGTTTATGTTAATTGTTATTGATTTGAACATCGCAATTTCAGTTTCATGCTTTAAAACCTAACAAGAAGACAATGTAGGTTCACTGAGCGTTAAAATCAAAACTGGAAATGAAAAATAGCGCTTCGTTATGCAACAAGCACCCTCGTCAACAACCGTGAATAACAACAAAAAAAAGAACTCCTTCCCGAGCGCAAAAAAATTTAGAATAAATGAGAGAAAAATATCCTACTTACGGCCTTGCGAAGATCCCAATTCCTTCGGATTTCAGTGATAAATTAGGCTGTAATGACTTATTTCAAAAACACGGATGATGATAGAATGAGAGAGGACTATCTAATCATTAACATTCCTGGCGTATTCCGTTATTTACCCCTAAATTACTGACGCGTGCGCATGAGGTGTTTGGTAGTTTGGCCTCAATGACCTTATGGCTCTTTGTTGAAGTCACTTGGTAGAACAACGATTTCTCAACAGATATTCTCATAGAAACTAACTGTAAATGCTGTCGTTACGCTTTGATAACCACATCAACCTGACTTCGTATGGAGTGTCTCGGTCACTGCTACCGCTACAACTATATTTCTCCGGCGTTAATTCAAGTTTATGCCAATATCAAATTTCCCTATTTTAGTAATTTACCATTTTCTGTTTTGGATAAAAATTGTCTCCTTTTAGCCTCCGAATAGTAAGTTTTTCCAAGAGGCAAGCAGAGTAAATAATATAATGACTTAAATGCATGACAGCAGGTCTTTGTGTGCTTTTCGGGGTGGCTTCATTCAACGCTGACAAGTTACAACTGGTGACAGCTTCCACTTGTATGTACTCGAAGAGAATAAATGAGCGTTAAGTCATGTTCAAAAGACTTACGGATAAGGTCCTTGAATAAAAAGAGTCAGTGTCCGCTGAAGACAGGAAATCATGCTTTCATGTCAATATTAAGATACAACTGGAAACATTCTACACAGCGAATAGGTTGGAACAATTTAGGACGCACCATAGTTACATAAAAAGTGGTGCAAAGCTAAAAAATTCATTTTTAAATATATCGTATAAACTTCAAAGCGTTTTAGTGATTTTTCTCACTGGATGTTCTTATTTTGCTTGCTTTCTTATTTCAGAATCTGTGTAGGCTGTGCAGGATTGGCAAAAAAGAGCAACAATTATACTCCTCCACCATTAAAACTTTTATTTCGAAAGATGTACAGATATCAATTCTATCCCGGCATTTTGAACCCTCTAAAGATCATGTTGATCACATGTAAATTTGTAGGGAGTTCGACCGTATCATTTGAATCCCCTGAGCTTCGTCCTTCTCGGATTCATGAGGTCATGTTTCTATATGGAAATCTTCTAGTGTGACCAGATACTTTTAAACAACGCTCGGAAAATATTCGTAACGCCTTCGGAAATCTTCGGAAAATCAGCATTGTTTAAAACCAAACCAAGATTTCATGGTTCACTTTTGAACTACTCCGTGTCATTGCCTTATTCTCCTAAGCCAGGTACCCTTTCTTGTTGAATTACTAATTAAGCGTCAACAATTTGGTTTATTTTATTACCTTTGTATTCACATGAATACGAATAAATGTGAACGAGAACGGGGCTATTGCGGACAAAAATATCTCCCCAATAACCAAGGGTAAAAACGTTAACGTTCTCATGAAAACGAGCTTCGAGGCATATTGCAAACTTAACGCTAGAAAAACGAAGGGAAAATGTCTAAATACTCATTTTAAAAAATGGGCCCGTTCTAAAGTTTTTGCACTTTCGAAATATTATACCCCGGTTTAGGACACGAGCTGAATAGTTCTGAATCGGAGTTACTAACCTTAGGGAGGAACATACTCGTAGAGGTATTTTGGGGGATTTACTTCCCCACCAGGGTTTATTGATAACCAGTATTCGTCATCGACAAAAGCTACAGGTGTACGGTGAAACGGGCAATAAAAACGTGCAACTGACTTGTCTTGCAACATCGCTGCAAAACGAGTTGTAAGCGATGTTGCGCGTTTTATCACCCGCGCTCAAACCTGTCTTGCAACAAAGGGTTTCAACAACCTGATTTGTTGCAAGACAGGTTCGATTCCAGGATAAAAAAACGTGCAGCATCGCTTTCCAACTCGTTTTGCAGCAATGTTGCAAAACAAGTTAATACGTTAATCGTTTTTGTTGCCCGCTTTAACGTACCTTAAATCTCTAGCTCTACAGGCCATAAACAAAGACAGTCTCAGCAGGTACTGAGCGTTAATTAAGTTTTAACGTGCTTTAACCCACTTCAAAAGACTGAATTGAATTCAAGTGTACAGTTATGATAGTGAAGATTCTGATTTCTTTAATAACAATCGAAAAAAATTAGGTATCTTCTTCATTTTTTTTACAAGTTTTTTTGTTTTTTTAAAATAAAGAACCAATCAAAATCCAAGATATTTGGAGACAGAGTCTTTCAAATGAAAAGGATAGTTTCAAAACATCGATTATACAGTTTTATTTGACTGGTTTCATGGAAACTATCTTTCTTTGTTATTATTTGATTTTAACTTCATATCCATAACTACAGCAAGGGTACAATGCCACTTACGTTAATACTAGCGACATCAACCATTTTGACAAGAAAGAGACAAACCGACAAATAACTTTGCTTTATTTTATTTTATTTTTTAACTTTTAAATTCCCTTTAACTGTGTTTGTCTGATTCACGATTTAACGACAAGATCGTCAAGAAGACTGCATGAGACGAACAGCCATTCCATTTTCAGTCAAAATCTTGACGTTGCTGTAATTTCTGGAAAGAAAAAATGAACACTGTCGTGAGAATGCTGGGCCGGGTCCCAGAAAGGCCGATTAGCGCAAATCCAGGATTAAAATTTTGTTCCGTTTTTGTATTTTTTCCTTCCTTTGTATTGCTTAGATTAACATTTTGTGTCATCTTTGCCGTATCTGGTATTGAAGGCAGTATTTTGTAAGCTCGAGTTGCATGTTCTTAGACAAGAAAACCTTGGTTAAAATTTGGCTTAATCCTGGGTTAAACTTAACATCTATCGAGGAACAGTGCCCTGGGCACTAGATGACTATCATCTGTCTCGCGCTTTTCTTCTCGACAGGAGCCCATAATTCGGCCTCGGCGAGTACTACTCCCATACTTAGGCTATGCAACGGCGTTTTCACTGATCAATTTATTTTAGCATCATTTTGCGGTACTTTTTCCTGCGAAAAAGGAAGCATAGGTCCCGTATGTGTGCGTATCCATAGGACGATAATGACAAAAAGAAAAAGTAAAAGCTGCCAAACATTAGATATATACTATTCTCTTGACTAGTCTCCAGCTTTCGCTGTTTGATTTGTAAGACTTATTTGATAGCCAAAATTCGCTGGAAAGTCAATCTAATTATAATAATCTGTGAAAACGCCGTTGTCAGGGTACAAGGGATTTGCTCGCTCCGGTTTATGGGCTACGTATACTGTCCTCGGTTAATTTGGTGGCACATGTACCACGCGAATGGCCAGAGATTAATGGGGGGAAACAATTTATCAGATGCGTAGAGGGAGGTAAACGAGGTAACAATGCTGTAAAACGCTTGACAGATTCCCTATCCCTAAACTTTAAGTCTTCAAAAAGTCTAGTTTGGGGATAGGGAATCAAATAGAGCATTTCACAACAATGTTTACCTCGTTTACCAGCCAGTCTGCAAGTCTCATCCTCACCAATGGCGAAGCCTCGAAAACGAGACACGAGAGGCTAGGACGTCAACCCAAGACTAATCCCACAACCCCTTGACATAAACATCATTTACAGCTTCCTTTTCTTATACAGTAATGAAATATGATAACTGTTTACTGCAACATACGGTTTCAGTATGTTGAGCACTTTCTTTATGTATAGCTACTCTCCCGCCCATATTTAACATAAAGGAACCTTACCAGTCGGCAGTCTTCTCCCAGCTAAGTGGCGCGCAGGGCATGATGGGATGGAAGAAAGCGACCTGCTACCGAGCTACCGCCGTGGGTGTTACGAAGAAGCTGTGTCACGAACTTAAGCAAAATTGAAACATTTGGAACTACGGTACTAAAAGAAAACTACCCAATGTGAGGAAATGCACCCAGGGAATTAAATATATTGTATGATTCATTCTTATTTAGAAAAGTCTGAGTGTAGAGCGAACATGGTCTGTTGATTAGAGGCTACATATTACTTTTAATTAATCAATCAATTGATTAATTAATTGTTTAATTAATTTTGTTCGTTTTTGTATCTTTGTTGCGAATTAAATCACCTGGTAAACTCTTGCTCGACTCCTGGATGGATCTGAATTAAACAATTTTCCACCCGGTATTTGACTTCGCCCGGCCTTGTATCTTCTTATCAACCTTCTGTGACCTGAGTTTAGTAGGCCTTTAACATCAGAGACAGTGGTCACTAACAGACTGGTGGCAGTAATTAGCAAGAGACTTAGCCCAAATGCTCTCATCATGCCTGGAATGGAAAAAAAAATTGAATTGAACAAACAACGATTTAGAGAGGTATCACTGATGCAAATTAAGTGTTCTTCGTCTACCTTTCCTGGTCGACTTGGAATTTGGATATTTTTTATTTTTTAGGAGAGGGGAAAAACGGAGTACCAGGACCTTTCGGGGAAAATGAGAGATCCAACAACGAACTAATTCAAAAGCTAAAAAACTCTCTTGATCATCAAATATTAGCGCCTGATGTCAGACGATCCGCAACGTGGGCAACAGCAGAGGCCTTTGATATTCTATCACGTGAAGATCATAGCCACACCAGTACACGAGACCGTTTACAGGTTTCGTGCAAAACGACTGTAAACGGATATTTCTGTAAACAGTTTTCAGTAAATAAGATTACATAAAAGGATAAATGTTACTCTCGTGTGCGCAAACGTACCGACGCAACATTGAGTTTTAAATCGTCTGCAAACTTACAAGAAATCTTGTTGACGATAACATTCGTTAATTTACGTTAAAGACTACGCGGACTTTATACATGGCCACCCTTTTCTCAGTCTTTTGTACCAAATAAAAAAGTGTACCAAGGGCGGATCCAGGATTTTTTTTAGGAGGGGGTGCACTCGCAACCTCGTCCCCAGGGCTTTTCCCTTAAAAAATGGGTGGGGCGGGAAAAGGCCCTGGCATCGGCTGGTCACGTGCACAGCCTAAATATTCTTGAGAAGCTAATTTATATGCAACCCGCTGGTTTTGCGCTGACAGAAGTCGAACGGAACAACAATGGGAAATAATAATATCGCGAACTGTATGTCAATATTTTCGCTTCTGTGCGATTCAAAAGCTTAAGATCCATTTAATTGCGTATTATTCAAATGCTACAAGTACCGGCTCTACGTTGTCACGTACAAAATATGTCAAATGCTTCAGAGTTGAGACAAGCTGTTATCGAGTAGTACTTCGACTGAAATTCATCGTGACTGTGGAATTACTTGATCAAGCAGAAAGTGATTTTGTCCAATGTCAAACAAAAATGCGGGCCTTTGCCTCTAGGATCTGCAGCGAATTTAAACAAATTGGACTTAGAATTGTTCATCAAAATACTTCATGGAGTCTGGTCTTCTCTACAACCCGACCATGAAACAAACAAATCTCCGCGCCGGATGCAAGTCAGCCCTCCCGCCAGGAACGATGACAGGTCGCCGATCTGAAACATTTTAAGATCTCTTATATCTTTTCTCTTCCGAGGATAAGTACAAAGGATTTTCCTTATATCAAAGGGAAGATTGACCGATCGATTGGAATCAACTACAGCTCTGTCAATTTTAAATGGACCTAAGTCTTTCTTTGTTACCAGTCGTTTGATACCCTGGGTGCCAGAAACTTTTCATGCCCGGTTTCCGGTTTCGGTCAAGTCTCGCAGAGGTCAATGAATTTTTAAAAATACAGGTCATACAAGATAAGTCTAAACCAACGCGTGACGCTATGATATGACTGAGAGTTAAGGTGAATAGAACTAGGTTGTGTACGGCGGTCCACTTCGCAAGAAATAAAATAAAATATCAAAAGAGTCGAGAAAACGGACTTTTCCAGTACAAACTTTAAGCATGTACGATAGCTTGTTTGTCATTTATATCGCTCTATAAAGGAAGTTTTACAAATGTTACCGCTCGCTCTCCCCTTCATAGAAATCGGAGGAAAGCAAAAAATTACCATAGCCAGTATCTGTGACAAAAAAGAAATCTTGTAAAACTTTTCGTTAATCGTCAAGAGATATAAAAGGCCGCCCAAGATCGCGCGCTGTGAGGTTACGCATAATTTTAGCTTTTCACAAAGCGCTAATTTATTACACCCAGGATTTTAGGGTGTACGAGGGGACACGTGACCACCCGATGCCAGGGCCTTTTCCCGCCCCACCCATTTTTTAAGGGAAAAGCCCTGGGGACGAGGTTGGTGCACTCGTCTCTTGCTCTACTTCAGCACCAATAAACCACATAGTATTTTTTCTTTTTGCAGAGTACCAGTTGTATTAGAAAACCGCAGGTCATCTCAGTGGGGGGCGCACCCCTGCACCCTCCCCTAGATCCGCCCCTGTGTTCTATGAACTGAGAAAGAAGGGTTCGGACGAAGGATAAGAACGTCACTAAAATTCATATTTATAATATTTTAAGGAGTAGCGTGTATGTAAACGAAGCAGTTTTATTAACTGCTTCGCCTTAAGAAGCTCTGCCTCTACTGAAACCCCAAATAAAAGCTTAATTCTTGGAAAAGAAAAAAGTCATAACAAGCAGTCTTAACTGGGAAATCTCAAACTGGATCTTTAGTTCGGGTTTTGAATATTCAATCCACGAAGGCGAGCGACCTCCAAGAAAGAATTTCATTTTTAAGTGGACCCAAATGTCATATCTGTGTTTAATAGCAAGTTTTGAGGGAAATCTAAAAACCGCACTTAAAAAACTAAAATCTGATTTTACGAATGCAAAAAAAAAAAAAAAAAAAAAAAAAAAAATGACAAGG